CCTCCCTCCCTCTCTCTCTCTCTCTCTCTCTCTCTCTCTCTCTCTCATTTATGAGTAGATCTTAAAAGGAGCTATTTGCTTTGTGTTAAGTATCCTCCACTGACCTGACATTATGTCACTTTATCTTCTCAGTCTGGATTAGGTGCCAATTGTTCTTGTGTATTTCTTTAGCATCTCTTATATATTTAAATCATAAAGCTTCTTCACATTGTCATACAAATTATTTATTTTGTCTTTCTCTTCTACTTAAGTGTAAATTCTTCAAATTCAGAGATTGTTTTATTTATCTCTGTAAGCCTAAGTACATGATAAGCTACATTAAGTGTTTTATCAGTGAATAAATACACATACATATTCAGTAGTCATGTTTAAGCATTGCCCATCAGGCTCCATAAAAAATAATGATAGATTACGTAGTATCTGATTCAGATAGCTATGTGTACAGAAAATGAACATTCTTGGAGAGGCAGCGTTTCATAGTGAAATGTGGGCTCTGGAGTCAGATCTAGGTTTGAATCCCAGTTCTGCCACTTAATTAGCTATGTGTGACCTTGGACAAATTAATTCGCTTATTTAGTCATTATCCTCATCCATAAAGTGGGGGTATTTCCTACTTGTATGTAAACTGCTTGGCATGTAGCAGGTGTTCAGTAAATGGTAGTTCCCATCCTTACTAATTGTAGACCCTCTCTGGTAGCTGCTCAAGGAACTTTCACTTACTTGGTTGCCTTACTGCTAGATATAATTAAGCCCTTTCTGTGATATACCCTATAATCACTAAGTTACAAAAGTTTGAAACTGTTCCAAGAAGTTGTTTTGGAAGTGTTAAGTATAGGAAATGCTTTCAAGAGACCATTGCTTTTCTACTATTTGAACACTTTATAATAAAAAAATTTAAAAGAAGGATGTGACTATGGTATGTATGCTGCAATTACTGTTTAATTACTGCTGTTTACATGTGTGAATAATCCTAGATTTGTTTCCAGAATTTTTTAATAATCCCCATCCATTTTTCTAATACTTTCAAATATTTTTATAATAGTTTTTCTAATTATCCCCACCCATTGCACAGTTCTTTTTTTTTTTTTTTAAACGACAATAATCATTTATTATGTCTCACAATTTCTGTGGGTCAGGAATTGGGGTGCTAAATTTTGGTTCAGGGTCTCCCCTAAAGTTGCAGGCAGATGTCAGCTGGGGCTGCCATTGCACAGTTCTTGATCTCTTTTTCAGTGTACTTATAAAGAGTATTATATTTCTTTTTATTTTTTAAATTTTTATTTATTTATATTGCGGTACGTGGGCCTCTCACTGTTGTGACCTCTCCCGTTGTGGAGCACAGGCTCCGGACGCGCAGGCTCAGCGGCCATGGCTCACGGGCCCAGGTGCTCCGCGGCATGTGGGATCCTCCCAGACCGGGGCACGAACCCGTGTCCCCTGCATCGGCAGGCGGACTCTCAACCACTGCGCCACCAGGGAAGCCCATAAAGAGTATTATAATAGTTTATTCTTCATTAGATATTTACATGTTTCTTCTTTATTGTGTTATGAGATTTTTGGGGTCTGGGACCTTTCTTCTCTTTTAATATACACTTAGTACATGGCTCTGTATTTTCTGAGCCACTAATAAGAACTTACTGTTTGGACTTCCCTGCTGGTGCAGTGGTTAAGAATCCGCCTGCCAGTGCAGGGGAAACAGGTTTGAGCCCTCATCTGGGAAGATCCCACATGCTGCAGAGCAACTAACCCCGTGCGGCACAACTACTGAGCCTGCACACCTAGAGCCCGTACTCCTCAACAAGAGAAGCCACCGCAATAAGAAGCCCGTGCACCGCAATGAAGAGGAGACCCCGCTCGCTGCAACTAGAGAAAGCCCGCGCGCAGCAGTGAAGACCCAACGCAGCCAAAAATAAAAAATTATATAAATAAATAAATTTATTAAAAAAAGAAAAGAACTTACTGATTTCTGACTCTATTTCTTCTTCATTGACTTCTCCATTTTTTCGGAGACGCATTTTAACTTCGGTTTTAGGGACACTATATTAAATATAGTATAGGAAAGTGGTTAATACTAAAGCTTTGGAGCCAGATCAGGCACACCTTGGCAAAGTTGTTTAACCTCTTTGAAATTCATTTTTTTTTATCCATAAAATGGTAGGTTATATGTATCTAATATGGTTTCTGTGAGGGGTAAATGAGGTAATATAAGTAAAATATTTAGTACCATTCCTGGAATAGAGAAAGCCCTCATTAAGTGATAAATCTTATTATATTTGTATGGAGATATCAGGGTATATTGGAAAAAGCATGGACAATTGTTGTTAGATAGACTTAGGGTCAAATTCTGGCTCTATTACTGAACATCTTAGGCAAGTTGCATAACTTCTCTGAACCTCATTTTTTGGTTGTTTTTTTTTTTGCCACGCTGCAGGGCTTGCAGGGCCTGAAGGGATCTTATTTCCCCGGCCAGGGATTGAACATGCGCCCTTGGCAGTGAAACCTCGGAGTCCTAACCCCTGGACCTCAAGGGAATTCTGAGCCTCATTTTTTTTAATCTATAAAGAGGGGATTGTAATACCTGACTTGAGGATTGTTGTAGATATAGCACCTGCACATTGCTTGCCACATAGTAGGCATTCATCAAGTGGTATCTATTATTGTTACCATGTCTAACATATATTTTCAGATTATTCTTTGGTCTTTAAAACAGTTTTGTGAGGTTGAAAGGCTAAGTTTTATGCCTGTTTTGCAGATGAGGAAATAAGGTCCAGAGAAGTTAAGTGATTTTTTTTCATGATTACTGCAGTAATTTTTATAGAGCCAGTATTAGAACACAGGTCTTCTGACTTCTGAGCTTTCTGCTTTGCAGCTTTTCCTTAAATACAAATGTTTGGATGAATGGATTAAGGTTTAAAAATAGGTTCTTTTTAGTGCCTGCTCCTTTGACTCCACTCAGATTCTTAATACAGATTGACCCACATTAGAATAGTAAAGATAGAGTTACTCTTCTCAGCTCCAATGTAAATTACTTTTAAATTTGTTCCAAAAGGTGGTTTTGAGATTGTGGGTTTTACTCTGGTATTTGTTCACGTCTCCTGAAGTTCCATGAAATTAGGTACCTTAGCCCAAGAAGTGATGGCTATTAGATTACCTTTGGTGTTCAGTTTTCAGACCCAAAGATGTTTCCCCTTGGATGTCTGAAAAGCTTTCTGAGGTGTAGTTACTTTTATAAGAAGAAATACCTAATTTAATTCACTTGTGCTCTTGGGTTTGTGTATGTGCAGTGGATGTTTTTGTTATGTTGTTACAGGTTCATGAAAAGCCCAGAACTTTGATGACAGATAGCCTGGTTATAAAGAATTTTTTACGCAAAGTCATCACTGTGCTCCCCAAGGTAAGCTGTTCTTCTGCACAATAACGATTCTCTTGTTTAAGTCATATGTTTTTAAAAGACTTCTACTCTGTAGGGCATGGAAGGATCTGATTGGTCCTCTTTCTTTTAATTACAGTGATTAAAAGTTTTAATATTGAATTGATTTGGTTCCTGTATCCCTAAGGCAGGCTTGATGTTGGTCATGTGACATAGTTGAGAGCCCTTGGATATAGAGAGAACTTTCTTTTGGGTTCTTATTTTCACTGCCTTACTGTTTTATTGTATCACTTTGGATACCTCGTTTCCCTCTTCTGCGTTTCATTTTTCTTTTAAACCTAGATGATAAACTTTGCTGATTATCTCCTTTTTTTCTAAAGTGACTATAAGAGCAACTAAGGAAATTGGTAAAATACTTTGAACTCTGGAAAGCTAAAATTTTTATTATTACCTGTAGTTTGATATGTTCATAAAGTTGCACACAAGTATGCTATATAACTTCCCCTTTTTTTCTGGCATGTTTCCTACTTTTTCTGTCTTAAGCAGGATTCAGTACTTAATTGTTTGCCAGTCATTCTTCCAAGTGCTCTCCACGTACTCACTCATTCAACCCTGCCAACATCCCTTGTGAAGTAGGTTTTATCATCATTCCCATTTTATAGCCAAGGAAATATGGTACAGAGGTTAAATCACTTGCAGGACCAGGATTTGAAATGAGGCAGTCTGGCTCTAGAGTTCCTTATTACCCATTATATTATATAGAAAAAAAATAGAGGTTGAAGGTATAAAATAATTAGAACAGTGAAGTAAATTGGAAGGAGGACATAAGAGATGGGGATAGGGGAAGAAAAAACAAAGAAAAAAGCATGGAATATTCCATATATGAAAACAATGGAAACAATAGAGAGAAAAATTGATAATTCATTTAAGAAGGGGAGAAGAGATACATTAGGAGAACAGCAGAGGACAAAAGGGTAGTATTTCCTCATAATTTGTGACTACTTGGAATTGTAATGTAGAACTCAATGTATTTAAGATGCAGAATTTGAACACAGACAAGTGTTAAGTATGTTTAGGGAAAGTGCAATGGAAAAAAAAAGTGATATAAAGAATATCTTCTCCTTTAGGAATTGAGTATGGAAAATTTTAATCCCTATTCTGGTTCATGTTAAATATCACACCCCATTTATTTTGCAGATTAGATTTAATTTTAGTGTAAAGGTGAATGGAATCCTCTCCATGGAGATCTTTGGGTAAGTCCTTAATCCATGGCTTAAGTTTATGCAGTGGCTCTACAATTTTTCTCAGTCATTATTGTCCTATTATTTCCAGTGGGTTCACAGTTTGATTTCTTGACTCGAAGTCACTTTGAAACTAATTTTCTGAGACCCCGCCCCCCACATTTTCTTATTGTAGATTAGTTCTTTTTTTAATAAATTTATTTATATTACTTTTGGCTGTGTTGGGTCTTTGTTGCTGCGCGCAGGCTTTCTCTAGCTGTGGCGAGTGGGGGCTACTCTTCGTGGTGGTGTGCAGGCTTCTCATTGCGGTGGCTTCTCTAGTTGAGGAGCACGGGCTCTAGGCACCTGGGCTTCAGTAGTTGTGGCACACGAGCTCAGTAGTTGTGGCTTGCGGACTCTGGAGCTCAGGCTCAGTAGTTGTGGCGCACAGGCCTAGTTGCTCCGTGGCATGTGGGATTTTCCTGGACCAGGGCTTGAACCCGTGTCCCCTGCATTGGCAGGAGGACTCCCAACCACTGTGCCACCAAGGAAGCCCTCTAGATTAGTTTTTAATGAGTAAGTAGATTAAACCTTTCATGACTTTCCCTTTCACTAGAATGAGAAAACTTAAAAATAGACATTTTCCCCTTGGTTAATTGGTTACTAAATTTCAGTAATTTCTGGGGTTGGTACTCATGGGCCAAAATTTGTAAGAGGCAGAGATTGGTTTTAGAATCTTTGAGATATGGCTTATCTTTTCTTTGCTTTGCAGGGCAGAGAATGAACCTACTTTGAACCTGTCAAATGGAATTGCGCTTGTCGTAAACCATCAGCATTATGTGAGGTGAAGGGGAAAGAATTGTTGTCCCTCTCCATGTTTTACTCTCTTACTATGAGTATGAATGTGGGCAGAAATTGAAAGTGGTCTCAGTTGTCAATTCTTAGTGCCAAGTGTCAGATTCTCTGTAAGAAAATTGAAAGTAAAAATTTTAAGCTATCTGTATTGAAAACGATGATTATTCCTGGCTCCTTGAATATATTCTAATTGACCTGAGGACATGCATGTTCCTTCTCCTCTCCATGCCTTAATTTCTTCTGTAAATGAAACAAAACAAACCCTGCTAACTCCAATCCCATTTAGACATGAGAAGAGAGATTACTTTAGAGATTACTTGAACTCTTGGCTAGAGAGATACTATGACTGCAAAGGAATTCTTTGTATATTATTGCTTGTGTATTAGCATTTTGCATAGGTTTAGAAATCATCTTTCTTCCCACCTCTACCTTTTTCAGACTGCAAAAAAATCCATGGAGGAGGTGGAAAATAAATGGAGTAGAACCCTGTGCTTTGCCTTCCTGTACTATCCAGTTACCACAGAACCCAAAGTGAACATGAATTATAGCAAGAAAATGCCTAACTTATGTTTAAGTCCAACGAATCTATTCTTTATTCAATAGTTTCTGCCTCCACTTATATGCCCTGGATCAACACTGGTAGTCATAGGATCTTAAGGCTTGAAGAGACTGTCTATGGTTTTTCAGTCTGTTTTCTTACTTTTGACCAAAATTACCTCTCAGATTAGACTATGTTTTATTCTTTAATATCTGCAGGACACAAAACCCCCACCCCACATCTTTATTTAGTAATCTTCTAGCATCATACAATCCCTACAGGCAGACGGCCTTGCTATCATAGATTGACTGAAAGAGTTTAAGCCTCTAAGCCAATGTTTGTGGACATATTTCCCTGGGTGACCTGATTAGTTTAGAGAAAGGGGGAAAGGTTCATTAACATTTCTTTTCTGTTTAGAAAAGAGCTGTTGGAAAGTAAGCAAATACCAAATTTCACTAGATTCTTTCTAGAAGCGAAAGATGTTCCAATTTTTTCTCATTACTCCTACCAAATAGTAACCTCAGACTTCTTCAGGGGAAGGTGTAGCATGTGTAAAAGCAGAAACCTAAGTATCATGAGGCCAGTTTTAGGCCATTTGTGATTCAGGGACCCCTGACCCCCACCCCCACCATGCTGATCTTTGAATGATCTTGGAAACTTCTGCTCAGAACCATAGAGTAATTTTAGTGGAGGGAATATACTTTTGAGAATATAAAACTGCCGTTAGTGGCAGCAAAAGCAGGAGCCATGCTATAATTCCTGAAATGCCAATTTGTCTACTTTTTCCATTCCCTGTGATTCACTGAGTGGGACACAAGTTACTTATACCAACAAAATTTATGTGGTGGATGATATGGTTATGCATATGCTAGAAGTTATAAAAAGAATTTTGAATTCCCTTTAAAATAACTTCTTAAGAGGGAAAAAAGCTAAATTTGTCTTACCTGTTTTTTGACAGTACACCAAAATTTGGTGCAACTGAATTACTCTGCAGCAGAATCCATCCCGTGCTAGGACATCCAGTCATGCTCTTCATCCCTGATGACGTGGCTAAAATGGGCTTGTTGGGGGAGCTGATACTGACTCCAGCTGCTGCTCTCTGTCCTTGCCCAAAGGTCTTTTCCAACCAGCTGAATAGGATTTCTTCAGCTTCCATATCCTTTTAATGACAGAGTCCACCAAAATGTTCAAATTCATTGTCTTTGAAAATGGATTTTTATATTTCAATTCTAGAAAAGCCTCTAGCATATAAACTCTGTATCTAGAAGCTGGTACGATTTGTATAAAAACAAAAATCCAATATGAAAGCTAAGCTTGAGAATTTTTCCAAGAAACTTTAAAATATGACAAGTGCCACACTGTTTTCATATAATCCAGTATGACTGAAGCATGGAATGAATGGTGCAAGAGGGAGAGAGGAGGCTGGAAAAGTAGTTTGGGGTTGAATATGGTGGATCTTGAGTGCCACACTAAGGAGTGTGAACTTTATTCTCTATATAATGGGAAACCATTAAATGTTTTAGGAATCTCTAGCAGCCTTGTACAGGATGGGTGGGAGAGAGACGTCAGTAATCACTAATTAAATAAGTAAGTGAGCTGGGCAAGAGCTATTAAGTGCATGAATTAAAAGTGTGATGAGCATGGAAAGGAGAGACTTATCACCGGAAGGAATCAACATGATGAGGTAACCAGTTCGTTGTTTGGCTAGGGAGAGATTAGGGGCAGAGAATGGCTAAAGTTGATGTCAAGAACTCTATATCCAGAATAGGCAAATTTATAGAGACAGAAAATAGATGGGGAATGATTCACCTGGGAGTGATAAAAATGTCCTAAAACTGATAGTGGTGATGGTTGCACAACTTTTTGAATATACTAAAACCAATTTAATTGTACACTTTAAATGGGTGATTTGTATGATATGTAAATTAAATCTCAGTAAAGCTGTTAAAAAAGATTTCCATAGATGGCCAACAGAATAATGATACTGGCAACAAGATCTGAGGAGTGAAGAAGATTAGTCTGGCTTTACATAAGTTGCATTTATGGTGCCTGCAGGGCATCCTTTAAAAATGGCAAGCAGCCATATAGAAATTTTGGTCTGGAATTTGGAAGTGGTCAGATTTAGAGAAATAGATTTCACAGCCTCAGCGTTTTCTCCGTAGGTAACTATAGTAGAGTATAGTGCTATGGCTAGAGCATGACACAGGAGTAAAAATGCTAGATTCACCACTAATTAGTTGTGTGACTTTGCACAACTTACTCAACCAGCCTAAGCCTTTATTTCCTCAGCTTTAGTATGGGGATAATAATACCTACCTCATAGACTTATATTCCCTTGCAAAGGTTTCTCTTGTTGTTGTTCTTTTGGGATTTGTTTGTTTTAGGGTTAACTATATAATAATCCATGTGAAGCTCCCAGCATATTGCCTGACACATAATGTAAGGGTTTGATAAATGTTCAGTATTATTATGATTATATGATTGAAGCTGTAGGAGTAAAGGACGTTGTAATAGAGTATAAAGAACAAGAACAGAAGAGGGCCAAGGTCCTGGTATGTTAAATGTCAGCTGAGGATGTCTTTAAGGAGGAAGAAGGAGCCAGGATAGTGATAAACGCTGTGTGTGGACATTTCATATTTTAAAACATGCTTTTTCTTAATATCTAGATCATACAGAAGAGTATAAATAAAATATGAAAGTTTCTCTTCGTTCTCATCCCATTCTCAAGAGGGAATAAGACAAATTTTCTATCCTCTTGGAGTTTACATTTTCATGGGAAAATTTAATAAATAAATGGATGTTAGGTAATGATACGTGCAGTGAAGATAAAATAATGTGGGTAAAGAGATAATGATGGGAATGTCATTTTAAATATTATGGTCAGTGTAGACTCCAGGGAGGTGATGTTTTAGTAAAGAGAGAGAGCTAACTATGAAAACTGGTGGGATTTCAGTTTCTGAAAATGGCAAACTAGGTAATTTAGACCAACCCTCCTAATGAAGACAAAGGCTGGATGAAATACCAAGACATCATAAAAGTATCTAACAGCTAGTGAATAGGGAGGAATTTCTGGGCAGTGATTTAGGAAAGAAAGGAATTACAAAAAGCTGAGCCCAGCACTGAGGGCTCTTTTGCCCTAGGGTCATTTGCCAATTAGAGCAAGTAGCTGAGAGACTAAGACAACTTCTGAATCAACTCAGGAGACGAAGGCCAAAGAGTTCAGGGCCTGCTGAGCTTGGGAGTGCTGTTAAAGACACCTCTTGTTTTGGACAGGGATAAGTAAAAGGCTATACTTTAAGGAGTAAGGTGAACCTGAAATAAACCATCCTTCAGTGATGTGCATTTATTTTGGGGGGTGGTTTAGGCAGGCCAGAAAATCTTAAACTTTGAAATTGGTTTAAGGTGATTCTAAATTTCTAATTCTCCCAGATGCCTTGTAGAAGCAAACAGAAATTCTTGCTAGAGGAAGATAACTGCATCTATGCTTCAAATTATTTAACAGATACTTAAATATAACATCCAGCTCCCATGTGCATGCACACATTAACATATACACACACACACAATCAGGTACAAGAGAAGACAAGGAGGCGTGAACAAGAGCTAACAAAAACAAAAGCAGCAGCAACATGCACTGGGACTCCAGATAATTGCTAATATCAGATACTGATTTTAAAAATAAAAAAATATGCTTACTATGTTTTTGAAAATGAAGGCAAGCTTAAAAATTTTGCCAGGGAACTGAAACTATTGAATGTGACATAATTTTAAAAAGAACCAAACAAATTGTAGAACCAAAATATACAATAACCAATATTGAAATTCAGTAGGCAGGTTTAACAGCAAATTAGACACAGCATAACTGAATTTACTAACTAAAATATAAGGATAGCAAAAACTGAGCAAAACAAAGCAAAGTGAGACAAAGGATGGAGAATACAGAAGAGGTAAACAGTGAGAGGAAACAGTGAGACATTCTAATGTACATTTAATTCATGTTCCAGAGGAGAAGAGAGAGAAAAATGGGGCAGAAACTATATTTGAAGAGTTAATGGCTGAAGCAACTAAAACAGATTTCAAGCTGAACAATCAAGCAGGTTAAATAAAAAGATATCCACTCCTTGGGACTTCCCTGGTGACACAGTGGTTAAGAATCCGCCTGCCAATACAGGGGATATGGGTTCGAGCCCTGGTCCGGGAAGATCCCACATGCCGCCGAGCAACTAAGCCCGTGTGCCCCAACTACTGACCCCGCATGCCACAACTACTGAAGCCCATGTGCCTAGAGCCTGTGCTCTGCAACAAGAAAAGCCACCACAACGAGAAGCCCACGCACTGCAGCGAAGAGTAGCTCCCGCTCGCTGCAACTAAAGAAAGCCCGTGTGCAGCAACGAAGACCCAACGCAGTCAAAAATAAATAAATAAATTTATAAAAAATATATATCTGTCTATATATCCACACCTTCTAGAAGATCAAAGTCAAAAAGAAAACCTTAAAATCACCCAGGGAAGACAGACAGATTTTCTTCAAAAGAGAAACTGACAGCTGACTTCCTCATACCAACAGAAAGTAGTAGAATAATAGTGTTAAGGTCCTGACATAAAATAATCATCAACCTAGAATTCCATACCCAGTAAAAATATTCTTCAAGATAAAAGGTAATGAACCTACCTATATATTATATTACTGTCATAATCCATACAAGAAGAAGAATTAATTCAACTGACTAGAGCATAGTGTTTTGACTGTACATTCTTGGTGGGATATTCTAAGGATGAAATGAACTGCAAAGAACTCTTAAAATTCATTAAGTGGTCTTGATTCTTAGTAATAATACTGATATTATTATATTGAAATTGTGTGCATACTTATGTAAAAACAAATAAGTAATTATGTTAACATTGTTAGGAACCAAATTTTTTAGCATAAGATAGAAGATATATGAGTGTAAATTCAAAGAAATAAGAATCTTTAAAAGTAACTTTGAGACAGAATTGAAAATACCAATGTGAATCCCCAATTTTTCTGACTTTAAAAATTATATATTTCTTAGCTCTGTCCACTAAAAAAACCTTAGAAGCAATGAACACTCGTGGTACTCAGAATGTGTCCTCTAAACACCACTGCTCACTAAAAAGGAGAAGTGGCTGATTCTGGGCCTAAAGTAGAAATGTACAAGATGAGCTGGGTATCTTGTTGGGCCAGAAAGCAAGGAAGTTATCAAAGGCCAATGAGATTGTGTCAAAGGATTTAGGAACTTCCACTTCCAGCCATGATCAAATAACAGGGACTGGATTTATTTTCCTACCCTGAACAGCTAGAAAAAATGGACAAATTATATTAAACAACAGTTTTCAGGTATTACACAACAGATAATGCAAGACAGTGGTTCTAGAAGGAGGAGAAACAAACAAGTGAACCCTGTGTTTGCCCCACTGTACTGTCTAGAGAGAATTTCCAGGCTACAACACCAGGAGGGGATACCCAACTGGAGTCTGGTGGATCTCTCTGAGTTGAGGAGACAAAGTTCAAAGTTCAGGGAGGTCTAGACAGCTAGGATTTATAGAAAAGAGTAGTGAAGAGGAAATAAATACATAGAAATAGAGCTCCAGACAGAAGAGAATCCCTGGAATGCACACAGAGCTGGGAATAGTTCCTGTTCCTATCAGGCAGGGTGGAAAGCCTCATACTTCTTAAGGCATGAGGTAGAGTCTTAAGAAGGCTTTGCCTGAGTAGTGGGGAAAAGTTAGCCATAGCCTACAGGATTCTCTAGTCCCACGTATCAAAGCTTAAATGTAAGACCAATAAGACTGAAACTGTTTCCAAATAATTTTACAGTGTCCCAGAAAAAAAGTTCAAGAATATTTATAGGAATACAAAAATATTCTGCACCCAAAAATGTAATCTTCACAATGCTGGGCATCCAATAAGAAATTACTTGGCATGCAAACAAGCAGGGAAATAGGGCCCATAATGAAAGAAAAATTTCAATCAATGGAAGCCTACCCAGAAATGACACAGGTGATAGAATTAGTAAACAAGGACATTAAAACAGTTATAACTGTATTCCATGTTCAAAAAGTGAGAGTAAAGATTGAACATACTAAATAAAGAGGTGAAAGAGATTTTTTAAAGACCCAAACTGAACTTCTAGAGGAGAAAAATATAATTTTCAGGATGAAAATAATACTGAATGAAATTGATGGCAGATTTACACATTGCAGAAGGAAAGATTAGTGAACTTGAAGACACAAAACTAGAAACTAACTAAAGTGAAATAAAAAAAGACTCTAAAAAAATAAACAAAGCATCAGTGAACTGTGGGACAACTTCAGGTGGCCTAATTCAGGGATGTGTAACTGGAGTCCTGCAGGGAGGCAAGGCAGATAAAATATTTGAGGAAATAATGTTCCCCAAATTTCCAAATTTGATGAAAACTGTAAACCTGCAGATCCAAGAAGATCAATGAACCCTAAACGTAAGAAACATGAAGAAAATTATACCAAGCCACACCATAATCAAATTGCTTAAAGCCAGTAGTAAAGAAAAAAATCTTAAAAACAGCTAGAGATAAAAAGACACATTACATATTGAGGAACAAAGATAAGAAATACCACAGATTTCTCACTGGAAACAGTATAAGCTAGAAGAAAATGGAGCAACATCTTTAATAAAAGAAAAGAAAACTGTTAATGTGGGAATCTATACCAAGAGGAAATACTTTTCAAAAATGAAGGCATAAATTAGATAACTAATAAGAACCAGCTGTATAAAAAATAAATAAAATAAAATTCAAAAATTCAAAAAAAAAATGAAGGCAAAATAAAGAATATTTCTGATGTACCAAAGTCTTCATCACCAGGAGACCTGTTTTATAAGAAACTTTAAAGGAAATGCTTTAGGCAGAAGGAAAATGGTACCAGATGGAATTCTGGATCTACTCAAATAAAGACGAGCACTGGAAATCATAACTATTTGGGTAGATATAGAAGATTTTTGCCCTATTTAAAAAACCTCTTCAAAAGATAATTGACTGTTCAAAAATATCAACAGTGTATAAGACTTACAACATGTGTAGAAGTAAAATGTGTGACAACAGCACTAAGGCCAAGAGGGGAGAAATGGAAGTACATTGTTGAAGGATTCTCATACTATACATGTGTGAACTGTTACAGTATCACTTGAAGGCAGACTGTGATAAGTTAGAGTTGTATACTGTAAAGCCTAAAGCAATCCCTAAGTTAATACCACAAAGAGTTATAAGTCAGAAAAAGGGATAAAATGGAGTTATAAAAAATACCCAATCCAAAAATAGAAAAGAAGAAAAAGGAAATAAAATACAAGGAATAGAAAACAGGTAACAGGATGCTAGATTTAAACTCAGCCGTAACAGTATTCATATTAAATGTAAATAGTTTAAACAACCCAATTAAAAGACATTCACACATTTTGACTCTTCGGATATTTCACTCTTATTCTGAGTTTGCAGCACCTAAAATCTCCCCTGGCTCTAAATAGTGAATGTGTTGGCCTTAGCTCAAGTGTTAATGCCTTCTTGGATTTGTGATGGAGACTTCATTCATAGGCACTGCCTCCCTTTGCTCTGTTGTGACTTTCAGTAATGCCCCAGTCCCTACTGGGTAAGGATTTTAATCTTCACACTTAATGCCTCATGTTTATCCTATGAAAAAGAGGATGAAAACAGAAAGATACAGGACAATATATATTCTGGTCTTATTAGCCTTGGTTCAGGGGACAACAAAGTTTAGGCAGTGGTTCTTAACTGGGTGATTTTGCCCTCAGAGGACGATGTCTGGAGACATTTTGATCCTTATGACTGGAGGGAGAGGTGATATTGGCATCTAGCGGGTAGAGGCCAGGGATGCTGCTAAACATCCTACAGTGCACAGGACAGCCCCCCAATAAAGAATCATCTGGCCCAAAGCGTCAACGTGCCAAGGTTGAGAAACACTGGGTTACAGGGAGGGTGAGGGTAGGAATGAGAAGTCAAGAGAAAGAAACCATTTAAGGGCCTACCTTCCTTAGTCTTGGTTAGAGAGTAGGTTGGAGAAGGTGAAGTGTTTCCCTCTCAATCTGAATATACTTAAATATACTTAAATACTTACTGGGAAATATTCCTTTGTGTATACTTTCATCATATCATATTACAGTTTACTGGTTTTTACATGTATCTCCCATACTATAAATATAACTTGAAGGTAAGTATTAAATCTGTATATTCATCTTTATATCCCCAGAACTTAGTACAGTGTAGTGTTTAGCCTGTGGTACCATTCAAACCTATGATTTAATGAGTAAGAGAGTAAATAAACGAATTGTCCCAAAACTATATTTGTAGCTCACACTCATTAAACCCAAAATAATTCCTGGGGATTCTAGTGGATCTATGTCTGGCGCCTCACACCTATCCTTAATGTGGAAAAGGCTTAATATGTAATCGCCTAGCACACTAGTTTATTTCTGAGGTGTGAACCAGGTCAGTGTTGTGTTTGTTTTATGCATATAAATACAGTTATAAAAAACTAAAAATTTGCAATTTTCTTTAGCAACTGTACATATTTCTATATGGACCTTCAGGTCTGCCTCTGATATTGCTAAATCCGGAGCAGCCAACTTCTACTATCTTCAAAGATACCTCTTATTTCATTAACTGGAAGAAATACCACTTGTGTATGGTGCCCAATTTGGATTTCAATTTAGATAGAGGTAAATCTCCCTCTCTTTGTTTGCATAGGAATAAAGAACTCTGGAGAATATTAGAGAAATGCAAGGAAATATAAATAGCAAGTGTATATAAGAATAGGACCGGGCTTCCCTGGTGGCATAGTGGTTGAGAGTCCTCCTGCCGATGCAAGGGACACGGGTTCGTGCCCCGGTCCGGGAAGATCTCACATGCCGCGGAGCTGGGCCTGTGAGCCATGGCTGCTGAGCCTGCGCGTCTGGAGCCTGTGCTCTGCAGCGGGAGAGGCCACAACAGTGAAAGGCCCGCGTACCGCAAAAAAAAAAAAAAAAGAATAGGACCTAGTGATCTGATGGCTTAGGTTGGGGGTTACAGGTGGGAGTCTGGCTAAGTTTGAGATTCCACATGAAGTGAGTCAAACAGGTGTCAACAGGCAAAGCCCCATCAGAGCCTAACCGTTCTGGCATTACGTGTTGATGCTGGTTCTCCTCATTTCTACTGCCTTCTCTATTCCTGGCCCTCTTGATGTAGTCAGTGGGCCTTCACCTTCCAGGGACTTGTTCAGAGGGTTTCTATTGTACCTTAATCCATCAACTCTGGGGTTTTAGAAAGGTTAGTAAAGTTGCAAGGACATCTTTGAACTATTGTGGAAGAGAAATATTTCCCAATGAAATGAAAAAATCCATATAAAATTACTTAGAAAAATTGTAATACTACGTAAAAGCAAGGCAGGAGTATAAACCATATAGTGATAAACCTAGGAAGCTGACTGTACTATTCATATAGAGCCTGATCACATTGGCTTTGGGTGAATCATACTGAAATTGGATGCTTAATAATTAGACCAACAAATAAAACTGAGAAATAGGAATATGCAACCATGAGCTGATGTCTAGGAGCTTTATAGTCTTGAGTTTGACTGTTGTTAGCTAGAATCCTTTGAAATTTAGAAGGCAGTCTGTTCAACTGGATCCTGAGGAAGTTCACCAGTAGCGAGGAGGTATTCTAGAGTTGTGACTGGTATGAGAAGATTGAAGCCTGCCAGTATAGGGAAGTATTTCCGGGGGAAAGATAGAATCTTCATCTTGGAAGTAGGCCTCGTGGTAAGACACTTTTTCTTGAGTAGGTAGTTATTCCAGAGGGCGGAATGAAAGGAGGGTGTCCTTGGGCTTCTGGAGGTAAGTGGTTTTGTGAGGAAAGAATGTTTGGTCTTAATAAGGCTGTGGTCACAGCTGTGGGCTGCCCCTTAGCACTTATATGGGGCCAGCAATGAGGGTGAAGTGCTTTCCTTGCTCCCTTGGGTAATGGCTGCTTACCGTACCACCTGGCCCAATGAGGGGGAATACCTACTACTCCTCTCCCCTGGCAAACTGTGGAAGATGTATTAAGAGAACAGTGTCCCCTAATGGCTCTGCTATTGTACCAAAGAGAGCCTTTTGGAATTGGTTTGGCTTTTATCTTGCGGGTGTGTGTGTGAGTGTCTGGGTACCTGAGTCCAAATCCTGTTCTCTCTTCCTGGTTTTAACCCTCGCTAGGGGGGTCTTAGTAACTTGAATGGTGATTCATGTTCCTCTGAAAGTGAGGCAAGCGAATGTGAGTGAATGATATGTATTATTGTCTATTACTGTTATTTGTTTAAACTGAATTGGCTATTTAGAAACTGAAAAAAATCCCTGAAAACATCCAAGATGGGACTCTTCTGACGTTCTAAAAACTGGTTTTTGCATAGGCCTTAGAGGAAGTTAGCTTTCTAGAAGGAATTGGTATTTCTCTTCCTGTGTCTTTGAGATGTTAATAATCTACCTGGGCTCTCAGGAACTTTAATTACCTGTGATCCTTGAGAGTGAAGAAAAAAAAAAAAAAGAGACCTTTTTAAACTCTAGCAAGAAAACAGTGAGATCTCTGTGTCCACATAAATAAATGTGTGTCTATGTGTACCTTATAAATATAAGGTGTCTCTGCCTCCAAATGGCACTGCCAAGATTGGTTTGTGGATGAGCTCTGTTTAATTGGCTTAAGAGAAATTAAGCACTCATATAAACTCTCAGAAATATAAAAGAAACTCCAGAATGAATTTCAGTTTCACGTGATATGGGAAATATTCAGTACTGAATGGATATCTGGTATTGAAGCTAGCTTAAACTTATTGGTTTGATTAATATAGACATGTCTTTAGAGTCATCAGTGTTAAGTATAATACTTATACCTAGGCTTATTTTGAGATCAAATAAGACCATATTATGTCTGTTGCAAATTTGTCAGCAAGGAAAATATCTTGCTATGATGAAATTTTAAGTAAATGTAAATAAGATAAGAGCCTTTAGGTAAACTCTATAGGAATAATTATGTTTTGGGAATGTCTATCTAGAATAGTTTCTCCAGATTTTGATAACCATGTCCTGCCTGCTGTCTGCCACACACAGTGGGGTATCACTCCAGGACCTTGCTTCAGACATGTAAGATCCCCCTATCCATTAAACCATTGATGTCACTGAAAAAAAAAAATATTAATTTTTGGTCTTAACAGATGGGATGTCATGCTATCAGGATTTTTTAAATCTCGAGGGCTCTCCATATCTCCTTTTCTCTTTCATTTTTATTTTCATGCTTTGTTGATTTCCTTCATTTTTTGCCAATTTGTGATGCCTAAACTTGCTCAGTTAATTTTGGAAATGAATAGCATAGAAAATGTCCGCACATGTCACCTTCCCTCATTACAGAACCAGGATCCACATGGAGGTACTTCTCTATATGGATCTGGATGAAATTTAGGACTATTGTGATTATATTCTAGAAAAAGACCATAGGGATCAGATTACTTGGGAATACAAATATTATATAGCACTGTGGTTAAGAGCACAGATTTTGGAGTTAGTCTAAAACAATTCCACCACTTCATGTCTCATGTTGGGCAATGTATTTAACCTACCTGTGCCTCTTTTCTTGCCTGTAAAAGAGCATAAGAATATGTCCCATACCATAGTGCGGTGAAGTCTGAATGTTGAGATAATACATGCCAAGAATTTAATGTGGTACGTGGCACATGGTAAGCATTCAATACAAGTTAGCTGTTATCATTACTCTTACTAGCTATACCTACTTTTTACTAGCCTCTTATTAGTGATACCTACCTTAGAAAGTTACATGAGGAGTGAATGAATTTACTGTATAATACTTCCCAGTAAATTCTAAGGAATGCTGTTTGGTTTGCATTTTATACACCCAGTTGTTATTTTGATGTTCTTCCTGTGAGTCACTATTATTTACTTTTATCATGTGGGTAGAGAAACAGATTCAGGAGGAGAAGGGAGTGTTCAAATTTAGATTTATCTCAGATCCCTCTTTGTTTGAGGTATAGGTTCTTCATTCACTTAGCATTTTGAGGGCTTTACTTAGGATACTCTGTAATATCTTGTCCTCTAGATTTGGTGCTTCCAGATGTGAGTTATCAGGTGGAATCCAGTGAGGGGGATCAGACTCAGAATATGGACCCCCAGGGACAAACTCTGCTGCTTTTTCTCTTTGTGGACTTCCACAGCGGATTTCCAGTCCAGAAAATGGAACTCTGGGGTAGGTATAGGAGAGTGGGGCTGCCAGCTTGGGTGTGCTTAAATGTTAAGAGAATAAAGAAAGGAGACTTTACATGATGCATAAATCTGAATAGATGTGTTTCTGTAAAATAACTCATTTCAATGAAAAACCTTGCTTAAATAAGTTAAAAAAATTATATGCTCTATGCGAAAGATCTATATCTTGAAGCATCACTTAGATGATGACATTCCCAGATTTGGTTGACCAGAAATCAGCAGACACTTCCTGTTGGTTCCTCCAGAGTATATTACCTTAGATGGGTAGTTCTCAACCTCAGCTGCACAATATATTACCTGGGGAGCTTCTAAAAAATGCCCAAACCTCACCCCCCAGAGATTTGGATTTCCTTGGATTGAGGTGGGCCTCAGGTATCAGTATGTTTTTAAAGCTTTTCAGGCTTGAGAACTGTTCACCACCCTACTGCTTTTCCAAGTGGAATCAAGAAAGTTATCAGTTTTACTTGGCCTTAATGCAACATCTCAGATTGAACAGAGGTGCTGTGGGAGTACATTGGTATGAATGGCTTTGTGTGATTGCCACATCAACCTCTGGAAAGGGAGAAATTGTCCTTGTTCAGGCATACAAATGCCTTTGGCCTTTATCTAGCAGATAGGTGATAACCTGTTATCAGAAGGTTCTCTCTGTTAGTGGTAAAGCAGTGATTTCACTGTTCTGTGGTCTGTGAAACACACGCATCAGAATCACCTGGAGTATTTGAAAATGTGCAGCTTCCTGGGCAAGGATTAACTCATTGTTTTGCTAATGTAAAAATCTGGTATGGCTCAAGAATATGCATTTTAAACAAGATTCTCAGGTGATTCCTAAACATAGTAAAGTTTGAAAACCACTGAGTATGAGAGTTGGCTTATGCATTTTTTTTTTTTTTTTTTCCGGTACGCGGGCCTCTCACTGTTGTGGCCTCTCCCATTGCGGAGCACAGGCTCCAGATGCGCAGGCTCAGCGGCCATGGCTCACGGGCCCAGCTGCTCCGCGGCATGTGGGATCTTCCTGGACCGGGGCACGAACCCGTGTCCCCTGCATCGGCAGGTGGACTCTCAACCACTGCGCCACCAGGGAAGCCCGGCTTATGCATTTTAATCCAATAAAGCCTGAGACATAAATTTAAGTGTTTCTCAGTGCCCTCCTAAACTTTGAAGGAAGAAGCAAGAAGTGGAGCTTATAAATGTCTGGGGAAATGTTCATAAGCCTTCCTTTTGGTGTTCCTGATATGTTTCTGGGTTATTCTTTCTTTGTGGGCGACTGTTTTTTCTTGGGACTTTACTCTCTAGGCATTCCAGTGCTATTTGGTGTGGCCCTGCTTCCATTGAGTCATAAGAGAAATGAGACAGCTTACAACACCAGATCAGAAGACCTCTCACATTGCTGCCAACTATTTGTTGAACCTGTGGGATTCTTTTCTACTGCCAGCCTTGCATGCCTCTCCTACCTTTTTCCATCATGTATATATTCTTTAGGAGAGAAGCACTGCTTTCCAGGGCTCTGGCTTGTAACTCTTTTATTTGAGGAGCTGGTGTTCTCTGGTGCCCCACTGTTCCATTCATTAAGGCCCTGGAATGGGAACATAGAAGAGACTCAACTAATGAGGCTTCCAGCAAGGAGGTCAAAGGTGAGAATGCCTAGGGCTATTATCCCACCTGTGCTGGCATGGACAAAGACTCAGAAGCAGCTTAGTATGGTGGAAAGGACTTCAGGGTACAATCAAGAGACCTGGGTTTAATTTTAGTACTGCTACCAAATTCCTTAATGATTTTTTGGAAAGCAAGTTGCATAAATCATCTGATCCTTCCTTTTCATATATTTAACATGAGATTGTTAGACTAGGTGCTATCAAAGGCCCTTCCAAGTCTAAAGACCCTCTTAAGATGTAAGATCTGCTATCTTTGGCAGTTTTTCTTTTTTTTTTTAAGGTTGGTCTGCTAGAGGGAGCACCATGTTCAGTCTTCCCTAGGATGACATAAAATCTGGTACCACATTCTGAATCCTATTAAACATACTTCCTCAGAAACCAGGGTTACTATCATTATTATAATACTGTGATAGTTTGTACACCTCTGTTTAGCTTGACTCTGAAGGCCTGCAGCATCTCAGGTAGTGGTACTCAGTACTGGATTAAACAGAAATCCATCACTGCATTAGTAAACATAGTAGTTATCTTTTAAAATTTCCTTATACATCTGAGAGTTTAGGACGAGCCTTTGAAGAAGATGCACTGTAAGGGTAGGTAGGTATAGATACATGGATATAGATATATGTAGTATTTTATTTTATTTTCCCCCTCTTCTTTCTCAGATCCTTGAAAGCTTTCTCCAGAGCTCCTTTTAGGAAACAGCTTGTGCAGAACTACAGTCTGTTTCCATGTTTCTTAAAAAAGAAAATCACTTAATTGGCCTTCTGCCTACCTTGTCATGGTAACTTTTCTATGATTAACTCATTTTGCCACAGTGTTAAAGGCATCTGGTGGTATCAGCAGTTTTAGGGATGAAACTATAGCTTTTTAATTAAATGTCTGCTTTCAAAGGGGCTTCAACTGATTTCTTAAGGCTATTCTTAGGACCAAACTATAGAAAATAGTAACCACATGATATCATAGCAATAGTGATATTTTCTCTTTGAATATTGCAATGTACATTTCAAAACACTTTATATATATTATCCCAGTTTATCTGCACAAAATACCCATGAGAGCAGGTGGTATAAAGGCACTTTCTGTACTAAAATGAGAAAAGTGAAGTGACTTGGTCACTATTAGTTGATAGTAAAATTGATGCTAGAATCTATATTCTCTTGATTCCAGTTCCAGACCCCTTTTGAGCAGTTCTTCCCCTCCCTTCCAGGAAAGCGTCATGGTACCTTGTGGTAGAAAATGTTCCTTCTGACTTGCATTTTTTTTTCTGACTTGCATTTTAATTGCAGCCCTGAGAAAAGCCAGCCAGCTTTACCTTTGAACAGACCATACAGGGAGTAGAAAAACACTGAAAGAAGAAAGATTAATTAAGAAGCATTTTCTCCAGGTGCCCCAAAAAGTAAATTTGTCTTCCTGTATTGGTTGTATCAGGATCATCAATGCTGGCATATTGTTTAATGACGTATTTTGCCCATCGGTCTCACGTGTTAGCTTTTCTGAAGGATGCTGAGCAGTGGTGCCTATGGTTACTTTATCAGAGATAGTCCCTCATTTAAAAAGACCTTATACCAGCAATTGTCAGATTGTGAGTTTTAACTTTTTCTTTAAATAAATTTATTTCATTTATTTACTTTTGGCTGCATTGGGTCTTTGTTGCTGTGTGCGGGCTTTCTCTAGTTGTGGCGAGTGGGGGCAACTCTTTGTTGTGGTTCGTGGGCTTCTCATTGCGGTGGCTTCTCTTGTTTCAGAGCACAGGCTCTAGGCACGTGGGCTCAGTAGTTGTGGCACATGGGCTCAGTAGTTGTGGCTCACAGGCCCTAGAGCGCAGCCTCAGCAGTTGTGCTGCACGGGCTTAGTTGCTCCACAGCATATAGGGATTCTTCCCGGACCAGGGCTCGAACATGTGTCTCCTGCATTGGCAGGCGGATTCTTAACCACTGCGCCACCAGGGAAGCCCTTAACTTTTTCTATGCCACAGCGTATCTAAAAGGATTGATACCCTGACAGTAGCAGTGGCTCACCATAACAGTGACGCTCAAATAGGAACAGAGGAGAGTTGGACATACTCTCCAGGAGGCTTTTCCTTTCCTTTGGGAGCCACCAGTGTCATTATTTATAGTATTTGGCATATATTTCTGTTTCTGATGTGAATTAAACAGGATCCCTCATTTGATTCTTCAAAAATAATGTCATTCTTCACTTTAATTTTAGTGAGCTTTCGTTCATTTGTAAGTGGGAATTGGGTAGGTTTGTAAATTGCTGGGGGTTTTTGTCTAGAAAAGTAATTATCTCTGGATAGGCAGAAGTGGCTTCTTTTTTCAAGTGGCCTCTTTCCCATTCTCAGCCCTGACTTACAGCATATGAACAGCAGTCTTGAAGTGGTCATTCTCACTCAAGGTTACCAACATTTTCCCTCCCCTTAGGAGTCCACACGTTGCTCACAACTCATCTCAGTGCCATTCTCACGGAGAGCCACAGTGTGGTGCAAGATTCCATCCAGGTCGCTGTGGACCAGGCCTTGGAGCAGCATCACCACGCTGTCAAGGTAATAAGAAATTCACAACTCCCTTTCTCCTTTCTCTAAGAAAAAGATAGAGTATATGGCAGACAGGACCTGAGAGCCCTTCCTCCCTGAATGCTTCTTCCTCTCTTTGGTCATCTGGGCTGATCTTTTTAAAAATATTTACTTATTTGGTTGCACCGGGTCTTAGTTGCGGCATGCCAGGGATCAAACCTGGGCCCCCTGCATTGGGAGTGTGGAGTCTTCACCACTGCGCCACCAGGGAAGTCCCCACCTGGGCTGGTCTTATAAACTGCATCTAGCCTAGGAACTCGGGCTTTAACTTAGATGGGTCACTGTAACCAGCTTGCTTAGTCTTATCTCCTAGTAGGTGAGTTTGAATAAATATGGGCAGAACAGTAGACCAGGGAAAATGACTGATAACATACCTCTTTTCTTTTCTTTTTTTTTTGAGTGTGAACAAATTTTATTTTTTTCGGAACACGTGACTTACGATGTGAGTGTGTTTTTTCACAAGCAAAATGAGCTTGGTTTTGCCTGCCTGTTAGTTTGTTTTCACCACTCCCATTATACCAGGGGACAGGAAAACATTTATAAAAGAGGAACAGTAAACACTGAACCCAGGACACTATATTCATTCTAGGTAGTTTGACACCTTGAAGTATTTTTGTATATTAATTTGTAGTGTCGTTAATGTCTTCTTCCCTCTTTCACACATTGAAGTGCTATATTATTGACTATAAGTTCTGGATAAATTGAAAGCACATGCATGCACTTGGCCTGAAATTTTTTTAATTGAAGTATAGTCAATTTACAATGTTGTGTTAATTACTGCTATACAGCAAAGTGATTCAGTTATACATATATATACATTCTTTTTTTTTTTTTTTTTTCTTTGCGGTACGCGGGCTCCTCACTGTTGTGGCCTCTCCCGTTGCGGAGTGCAGGCTCAGCGGCCATGGCTCACGGGCCCAGCTGCTCTGCAGCATGTGGGATCTTCCCGGACCGGGGCACGAACCCATGTCCCCTGCATCGGTAGGCAGACTCTCAACCACTGCGCCACCAGGGAAGCCCTATACATTCTTTTTTTATATTCTCTTTCATTATGGTTTATCATATGATATTGAATATAGTTCTCTGTGCTATACAGGACTTTGTTGTTTATCCATCCTATATATAAAAGCTTACATCAATGTATATCTTTCTTATCTATATATTTCCCCTTCCCACACATGTGTCTAGAGCTGCTGTTTCACTAAATCTTACATTCTTCCTCCATTTCCTAATCCTTTATAACATCACTTTGTCTTCTTACCTGACTTTTTTTTTTTCTTCATGATTCAGGCCAGAGGTTTTTTTTGTTTTTTTTTTAGTGTTGAGCCTTCTTTTAATTTATTTATTTTTATTTTTGGATGTGTTGGGTCTTCGTTTCTGTGCGAGGGCTTTCTCTAGTTGTGGCAAGTGGGGGCCACTCTTTTTTTTTCTTTTGCGGTACGCGGGCCTCTCACTGCTGTGGCCTCTCCCGTTGCGGAGCACAGTCTCCGGACGCGCAGGCTCAGCGGCCATGGCTCACGGGCCCAGCCGCTCCGCGGCATGTGGGATCTTCCCGGACCGGGGCACGAACCCGTGTCCCCTGCATCGGCAGACGGACTCTCAACCGCCGCGCCACCAGGGGAGCCCGCGGGGACCACTCTTCATCGCGGTGCGCGGGCCTCTCACTGTCGTGGCCTCTCTTGTTGCGGAGCACAGGCTCTAGACGCGCAGGCTCAGTAGTTGTGGCTCACAGGCCTACTTGCTCCGCGGCATGTGGGATCTTCCCGGACCGGGGCCGAACCCGCGTACCCTGCATCGGCAGGCGGACTCTCAACCGCTGCGCCACCAGGGAAGCCCCTTACCTGACTTTTTGAATCCCTCCATCCTGTGTACTTTTGGTAACACATTTCTTACTTCATATGGCCTCCTTTTCAGGGAAAAGACAACTATACTAAAAGAGTAAAGTTTAAAGCTTTTTGTTTTTTAATAATAAATATATCTGTTTTGTTGCTCAGTGTCTTACTGCGTGTCTTTTCTGAACGTATCTACGTCAATAAGTCTAAGTGTCCTTTGTATGTCACGATCTCAGTAAGTATTTTTGGTGGAGGGGGAAGAATTTTTGAAATCCTGCTCTGACTAAAATCTTTGGTCCCTTTGGGATTATCTGAACCAGCAGTTTGGTATTATTATAAACTGCGGCCTCCCCCTTCCTTGTTTTATTCTCTAGGCTCATCAGAAACTACAGGCCTCACTCTCAGTGGCTGTGAATTCCATCATGAGTATCATGACTGGAAGCACCAGCAGCAGCTTCCGAAAGACATGCCTCCAGACGCTTCAAGTTAGTAAGAGATTGGGGATGCTTAAATGTGCCAGGGTTTTAATGACATTCTGCTACCTATCTTAGTAATATGTGCAGTGCTCTTAGAAACCTTATTTACTTTGATCCTCCTATGATTCTACATAAGTAAGTGTTTTAAGAAATGTTTGTTGAATGGATAGTGATGTATATACTATTTTATAAATGAGAAAACGAGTTATTTAAAATTTCTGTTTCCTTTCTATCATACAGGTAGTTATAAGCAGAGCTAGGATTAGATCAGTGATTCCCAATTTCTTATTGAAGAATGTTCTATTACCTCATGGCAACAGAATATACTGAAAATAACTGAGCAACCATAAGCATTACATGCGTTTGGCAGTATGGAATAGTGTAACAAGGTTTGGAATCAAAGGCCTGAGTTCAAATTTTGGCTCATTTGTTTACTAGCTAGGTGGACTTAGGCCTGTACTGAACTTCTCTGAGTTTCATCTACAAATTAGAAAAAAATAATAGTACCTGACAGGGTTATTATGAAGTTGAGAGCTAAGTGTGAACCTGCATAACACATTGTAGATTCTTTTTTTTTTAATGCTAAAGTTTTAATACATTTCATCTTAAATTGTCTTAAGTAGTATGCGATGGCTAGTATTTTATTTTATTTTTTTGAATTTTATTTATTTTTTAATACAGCAGGTTCTTATTAGTTATCTATTTTATATGTATTAGTGTATATATGTCAATCCCAATCTCCCAGTTCATCCCCCCACCTCCCCCACCCCTGCTTCCCGCCCTTGGTGTCCATACATTTGTTCTCTACATCTTTGTCTCTATTTCTGCCTTGCAAACTGGTTCATCTGTACCATTTTTCTAGATTCCACATGTATGTGTTAATATACGATATTTGTTTTCTCTTTCTGACTTACCTCACTCTGTGTGACAGTCTCTACAAATGACTCAAGTTCATTCCTTTTTATTGCTGAGTAATATTCCATTGTATATATGTACCACATCTTCTTTATCCATTCGTCTGTCGATGGGCATTTAGGTTGCTTCCATGACCTGGCTATTGTAAATCATGCTGCAATGAACACTGGGGTGCAAGTGTCTTTTTGAATTATGGTTTTCTCAGGGTATATGCCCAGTAGTGGGATTGCTGTGTCATAGGGTAATTCTAGTTTTAGTTTTTTAAGGAACCTCCATACTGTTCTCCATAGTGGCTGTATCAATTTACATTCCCACCAACAGTACAAGAGGGTTCCCTTTTCTCCACACCCTCTCCAGCATTTGTTGTTTGTAGATTTTCTGATGACGCCCATTCTAACTGGTGTGAGGTGATACCCCATTGTAGTTTTGTGTTGCATTTCTCTAATGATTAGTGATGTTGAGCAGCTTTTCATGTGCTTCTTGGCCATCTGTATGTCTTCTTTGGAGAAATGTCTATTTAGGTCTTCTGCCCATTTTTACACATGGTAGATTCTTAACAAATGTTGGGTTTTTTCCTTCCTTCCTTCCAGTGTGTGCTGACCAAATTATCAGAGGGATAACACATTCTTTCCATGTCACTTCATTTTTTTGTACTTTTTTTCTTGAAAAGATAGTGTAATATACATAAAATTTAAAATAATAACTAATAAACTTTATCACTTAATTTTTGCATATTATCTCATATACATTATACTATATAGTCATAACCAAAGTATTTTATATTCATATATAATTTGACCTTTTCCCCTATTTCAACAGTCTTAAAATTTGTATTGGTTAACCAATATTCACCTATATTAGTTTAATCTAATTTAATAAACCATTCCCCTAATGACAGACATTTAAGTTGTTTACATTTTTTCTGCCAACAAATAGTGCTTCAGTTAATACCTATATGTGATCGCTTGCTTCTTTTGAATTATTTCCTAGAATAAATTTCTATAAATGGTAATGGGTCAAAATGTATAACACCTTTATAATCTAGTGCATCTTCTCACAGCTTCAACTTTCTGGGTCACATGGGTAGCACAGTGAAAGTCAGCCCTAACTTTCATACTAACTGGCTATGAGATCTTGGGTGGGTCACCTCTCCTTTTTGAATTTCAGTTGTCTCATCTATAAAATTAGTGTGTTCATCCCCAAGTTCCCCAGGGCTGCTCCTTTATAGTCAGGGGTAGCGCCACAATTTTGGGGACCCTTGCAAAATGCAAAAAAGGGGGGAAGCCGTAAAGAATAAAGCTTTTAAATTTCTTCTGCAGTTTCATTTGACTTGTCTGGTGTTTTTTATTTGCTAGTTAATGTTCTAAGAAAAGAAAAATTAAAATTTTACATTATTTGTATAAATTTTATCATTCATTTTCATTCTGTGTGGTGCCAGTTTTAAATGCAAATATAAGAGCATTTAAGTGGTATGTGGCATTACTGAAATTATGCAATTTATATTTCATTGCTCGAGCATGCATATGTATTTTGTTCTAAATAGAATTATGGAAAGCTGCATGAAACTGTAACTGAGCAGGAGCCTATGGGGCCTTTCCTAAAGGGTAAGACCCCTCCACCCGTGTCCTCTGCTTTAGCTCCTCTCTGAGGTACCTAGATAACAGTATATGATGCACATTTCCTGAGTTGTTTTATATATGTTTTAAAAACCCTCACCGAATGGAGGATTCTAACTACTTGATGACCATGAGCAGTAGCCCCCAGACCTACTGGAGCCTGAAGACTGATAATGTTAACTCCTGTGACTCCACCCTGTTACCTTACCATCCACCAATCAGAGAATTGTGCATGAGCTGATCACATAACCTGAGACTCCCTCCTTCACCTGGCCTTTAAAAATACCCCCCTGAAACCCATCAGGGAGTTCAGGTTTTTTTGAGCATTAGCTACCCTGGACTCCTTGTATGGTGCCTTACAATAAACACTGCGCTTTCCTTCATGACATACATACATACATACATAAAAATGAAATGAAATGAAATTAGTGTGTTGTATTAGGTGATTACTCTGGCCCCTTTTAACTCTAATATCCTATCAATACAATTCTATACTAAAAAGTAGAGGCTGTTACCCATTTCTTAATGGATGCAAACTAAATTACTGTTCCTTTCCTCCCTGAAAGATTTATCTGGGGAAAAGTTCCTATACCAGCCTTAGTTGTTCAGTAGAACCTCTGCTCTTTTGGAACTTGTTTTAGAGGAGAGCAGTTAATATAACCTCTTCACGAACAGATGGATCTCTGGGATATTTATCTCCTATGGAGATAGGAGAACAAAGACCTTGTTTGAAAGACCTTGCTTAGGTAACAGAAATTGGAAGATACGTGGGAGCCACAACTACCTGTCTCATGTCAAGTATCCCAGACCTTCTTTCTACTTATCCTGTGTCCACAAGAACTAAGGAAACTTCTAACACAACATGAAGGATGTCAGTGGTTTGCCTTTCTATTAGTCTCGATCTCTCCCCATGTAAACTTCCTGTGGGTACTTACCCTTTGGTTGCCAGTACTGGAACTCAACATATTCTGTCTCTGGCCCATTTTAGGCAGCTGACACACAGGAATTTGGGACCAAGCTGCATAAATCATTTCATGAGATCACCCAGAACCGATTTCTTCACCACTGCTCACGTGAGGTGAAGCAGGTAAGTGTAAAGTAATAATAGGTACGTTGGTGGAAATCTTCCATATTGATGTATGAGAACCCTGAGTACACAATGGGTAGGTGTAGTACTTTAGACTGCACAATCTGAGGTTAGCCTTTTAGCAAGGAAGCCTATGGTTTAGAAAAACTTTATAGAACATGGTATTACATAGAGGTTAAGAGCATGGTTAGAGATGTCACTTGAATTCCATTTCTGCCACAAACTAGTTGCATGGTATTATTATAAAAGCTATTTATTCCCAGTCTCAGTTTCTTTATCAGTAAAATAAGAATGATGCACACCTAAAATGATCATTGTGAGGTTTGAATAAGATAATGTAAGTAAACTGCTAAGCACATAGCTACTTTTATGAGGATGATGATATGATGGAATTCCTATGTTTAGTTTTGCCTAATGAAAAACATACTTTTATCTATTTACCCTTTTGGATGCTGGAGATACAGAGTTGCATTAGTTGGGGTCTCTGCCCTCATGGAGGTCAGATAGTTATAGGCTCCTCTAATGAGTGAAGAGAAATCATAACTGGGAAATTTTATGTATTTCCAGATTCTGGGTGTAGGTAGTAGTAGTGTTTCAGCTGAAGCCCACTTTTCTGGCTCTCTTGGCAACCATCAGCAGGATCGACTTTTCTGGAATTAAAGTATAAGATGAGTAAATAAAAGAGATTAAGAGGGAAATGATTATACAGCGGCTTCTGGCCAAGATAGAGTAACAGGGACCAGATTTACCCTCCTGCCTGAAATAACCAAAAATCTGGACAATAACAAAAAAAACCAACAACATATGAAACAATGGTTCTCAAGACATTGGGCCTCAGACAATGGATGGGATAGTCATTCCTGAGAGATGGAAAACAACGAAGTGAGCTCTATGAATGCCATTGCACACTGCTTAGAGAAAGTACAGAGACTGTGGAACAGGGAGAAGGAATCCAGGCAGAGCCTCATGGTGTCCCTGAGTTGAATAGATGAAGCTAGGAACCCAGGGATGCTAAGGCAGGTTAAGCTTTCAGGGCAGAGTACCAGAGAAGAGAGAGCTGCACAGAGAGAGAATTCTGGAGATCTGCAGAGGCTCCTCTCTCTGGTATTCAGTTGAGTACTGATCAGCTCATTCATGTGAAGAAACTGTCCAGGTAAAGAACCACTCAGAAGGATTACAGGGGACAATAGGCAGAGCTTACACAGGGCTGGGAATAGTGCCTATTTTCATCAACCAGAGAGCAAAGTCTCATAATTTATGGAGCATCAGGTAAAATACTAAGAATAGTCTTGCCTCAGAAATGGAAAAAAATTACATCTACAATAAACACTCCTTGGTTCTGCCTAACAAAGCTCAAAAGCAGAAGCAAGACCTAAAAGGATCAGGTGGTTTCCAAGTAATTCAGTGGCATCTCAGAACAAAGTTCAAGAATGTTTATAAGAATACAAAAATATCCAGCACCCACCAAGGTAAATTCATACTGCCTTGAATCTAATAAAAAAAAAAACAGACATGCTAAGAAGCAGGAAAATACAACCCACAATGAAGAGAAAACTCAATCAATTGATCAATCCATCAATCCAAACTGATCCAGAACTGACATGGAAGATAAAATTAGTAGACAAAAACCAGTTATTCTTATAACTGTATTCCATATGTTCAGGAGACTAGAGGAAAGATTGAACATATTCGTTAGAGATGTGGAAGGTATAAAAAAGAAACAAACTTTAAGGTGAAAACTAATGTCTCTGAGGTGAAAATTATACTGGTTACACCGAATAGTATCAATAGCACATTAGACACTTAAGGAAAAACACATAGCAATAGAAACTATCTGAAATTAAACACAGAGGGGGCTTCCCTGGTGGCTCAGTGGTTAAGAATCCACCTGCCAATGCAGGGAACATGGGTTCGATCCCTGTGTGGCCCGTGTGCCACAACTACTGAGCCTGTGCTCTAGAGCCCGTGAGCCACAACTACTGAGCCTGCATGCCACAACTACTGAAGCCCATGTGCCTAGAGCCCATGTTCTGCAACAAGCGAAGCCACTGCAATGGGAAGCCTGCACACCACAACAAAGAGTAGACCCTGCTCACTGCAACTTGGGAAAGCCTGCGCGCAGCAATGAAGACCCAGCACAGCCAAAAATAAATAAACAGACAAATAAATAAATTAAAAAAATTAAACACAGAGGTTAAAATAATAATAGACCATTGAGCATCTGTGAGTTATAGGACAACTTCACATAGGCTAATACATGTATAATTAGAGAATCTGAAGAAGCAGCAGAGGCAGAAAACATATTTGAAGAAATAATGGCTGAAATTTTTCCAAATTTGATGAAATCTATTAATCGTACAGATCCAAGAATCTCAACAAACTCCAAGCCTAAGAAGCAAAGAAAACTACACCAAGGCACATCATAATTAAATTGGTTAAAACCAGTGGTAAAAAGAAATCTTAAAAACAAACAGAGACAAAAAAAAAACACCACCTTGTTATGTAATAACAAGGAAACAAAGACAAGGATTACAGCAAGTTTCTCATCAGAAACCATATACGCTAGAAGAAAATGGAATAACATCTTTATAGTACTGAAAAAAACCTGTCAACCTAGAATTCTTTACCCAACAAAAGTATCCTTAAAAACAAATATGAAATGAGGACTTTTTATGACATACAAGAGATGAAAGAATTCATTATCTGCAGACAAGAAATATAAATGTAAAAGAAGTCCTTCAAGCAGAAGATGATACCAGATGGAAACCTGGGTCTACACAAAGGAATGAAGAGTACTTAAAATGGTAACTATGTGGATAAATATAAAGACTTTTCTTATTATTTAAATCTCTTTAAAACATAATTAACTTTTTAAAGCAAAAACAGTAATAATGTATTTTGAGGTCTATAACCTATGTTAGAAGTAAAGTGTATGACAACAATAGCACACAGACCAGGAGGAGAGAAATGGAGATGTATAGTTGTAAGAATTTATGCTATCTCTGGGGTGGTATAATATTACTTGAATAAACTGGTAAGTTAAAGATGAAAGGAACCATCAAAATAACACATCCAGGAGTTATACCTAATAATCCAAGAAAGGAGATAAAATGGAATCATAAAAAATATTCAACCCTCAAGAGAATGAGAAGACAAGCCACAGGCTGGAAGAAGATATTTACAAGACACCTCTGATTAAAGGACTATTATCCAAAATACACAAAGAACTCTTAAAAATCAACAAGAAAAAAAATTTTTTTTATAGTCATAGATAGATAAGCTTTATTCCAATGTCTACATAAAAATGAGTTGATGTCCAACAGGAAAAGGTTTTTCCAAAGGGTTAAAATTTATCAAACAACAGAACTTGGTCCTTTTCCCTTTAGTTTGTCTCTCAATTCAGTTGGCTGACACATCATTATTGGTATCCACCCTTACTAATCATTTTCACCACACACAATATCTAAAAGTCTTCGGGTGGCACTTTCCATTTCTCTGGAAATCTCTTAAACTGCTTTCAGTTACAAGAGATGGGCAAGGTTTTTATCTGCTCATACTCTACTCCACTGGAGACAAAAACACATCCCTGAATTCTCTCGTTTAAATTGTGGCTGTTGGCAAAGTGTCCAAATGAAGAACTTAACGCTAACACACAAAGAACACAGTATAATCTCTGTATAACAGTAACTTTGCTTTAACTTTTTCTCATTAAAGAATTATTTTTATTATATCTCCACAAGGAAGTTATAAAAAATACCTGTAAAAACATTGAAAAGGCTCTTAAAAGTCCTGGAATGAAAAATTCTGAAGTATAAATTATGATACATCGTCTATGATTTGCAAATAAGAATAAAATAAATTCTACAAGCTAGACTTTCTGAGTGATTTTTTTTTTTTTTTTTTTTTTTGCCGGACGCGGGCCTCTCACTGTTGTGGCCTCTCCCGTCGCGGAGCACAGGCTCCGGACGCGCAGGCTCAGCGGCCATGGCCCACGGGCCCAGCCGCTCCGCGGCATGTGGGATCCTCCTGGACCGGGGCACGAACCCGCGTCCACTGCATCGGCAGGCAGACTCTCAACCACTGCGCCACCAGGGAAGCCCTGACGATTTCCTATTTTCATCCCAATTGAGTTTTTGAAAAGCTATATAATCTGTCGACACGCACAATCCACACAGGAACTTGCTGCTGCCACTAATGATGAAGTCAATCTGAAGGACAGAGATTTGTATGCTGGATGCGCCAGGCTCTTCCATGCAACTGATTGAAGTGGTCGTCTCTTATTTTTTCCCTTATGTTTTAAATAAAAGTAAATATACATATGGTAAAAAATTTAAATGGTACAGAAAGATCTAAAATAATCAGTAAATATCCTTTTCTCCCATAACCTAGAAAATCTGATGTCTTCCAAATCATCAGTCGTATGAATAATTTGCAAAGTGAAGTCAAACTTGGAGTCTCCTCATCTGAAAATTATTCTCAGGACTTTCGGAATGTGTTGATTCTGTCATATATTACTTCTGTTACAGAGGAAAGCCATGCAGTCTTCTTTAAAAAAACTAATTACAAAAGCAACACGCACACTCTGCTCAGAGACAGCAAGTCCAGGCAGCACCTTGTACAGGATCTCGTCCTGGTTACGGGCAGATTCCCTGGTATTATCCAGAGTCACGGGCGGCAGGAGCTCAGCCGAGCCCTTCCTGATGCCTCGGATCCTCCTGGCCAGCGGCACATCCTTTGGGAAGAGAGTGACGCGGCTGGCATGTAAGGAGAGGAGATAGGCATCCTCAAAGAGATGAACTAGAAACGCTTCTGCTGCCTCTTGTAGGGCCAACATGGCCTGAGCTTGCCAACTGAAGTCCACACCACGAGTGAATTTAACACATATTTCTCTTGCCAGGCGGCAGAAGGGGGTTCTTCCTTAACAACAGGTGTGTGCTCTTCTCAAGAGTTCGGATCTCCTTCAGAACCCAATGTCTCCAGCGAGCAAGTCGACGGGAGGAAGTGCCTAAGTATGGGCCCGGCCGGGTGGCGGCAGGAGCCGGGCTCACGGTGCGCCTCCTTGGGGCTTCGGACTTGCGGATCCATCGGCGTGGGCCCATGGCTGGCGCTCAGGGTTGCGGACCCACGGCTCCTTCTCGGCCTTCCGGGTCCAGAGGCAGAGGCTGGCGTCCAGGTGAGGACCAGCAGCACCCTGGCCGCATGCCCCGGCTGGGTGGCGTTCAAATTGCCCACTCGGCCGTGGATTCACTCAACAAAAATTTTTAAATGGGTCAAAGACCTTAACAGATACCTCACGAAAAATGGCATGAGATAAGCAAATAAGCACATGAAAAGATGGTCCACATCATATGTCATCAGGGAAATGTAAATTAAAACAACGAGATATCACTACACACTTAGCAGAAGGGCCAAAATCCAAATGCAGGCAAAGATGTGGAACAACAGGAACTCTCATTTATTGCTGGTGGGAATGCAAAATAGTACAGCTACTTTGGAAGACAGTTGGGCAGTTTTGTGTAGAACTAAACATACTCTTACCATGTGAGGATCTGAGTCATATAAAGTATGTTTTTTACCACAGTAGAATTATTATATTTTATTATTTTATTATAATAAAATCAATAAGAAAAAGATATCTGGAAAACTCCAAATATTTGGAAACTAGATGACACACTTATAAATAACCCATGGATCAAACACAAAATCAAAAGAGAAAGTAGATAATTTTTTTTTTTTTTTTTTTGCGGTACGCGGGCCTCTCACTGTGTGACCTCTCCCGTTGCATAGCACAGGCTCCGGATGCGCAGGCTCAGCGGCCATGGCTCACGGGCCCAGCCGCTCCGCGGCATGTGGGATCCTCCCGGACTGGGGCACGAACCTGTGTCCCCTGCATCAGCAGGCGGACTCCCAACCACTGCGCCACCAGGGAAGCCCGAAAATATTTTAATTTAATTAAAATGGAAGTATATATTATCAAAATTTGTGAGACATAGCTAATGCAGTACTTAGAGAGGAAAATACCTGTGTTAGAAAAGAAAAAGGTCTCGGGACTTCCCTGGCGGTTCAGTGGTTAAGACTCCATGTTTCCACTGCAGGGGCAGGGGTTTGATCCCTGATTGGGGAACTAAGGTCTCACATGCCATGTGGTGCGGCCAAAAAGAAAAAGATAAAGAAAAAGGTCTTAAATCAATGACCTCAGCTTCCAACTTCAACTAGAATAAGAAGAGCAAATTAAACATAAACAGAAGTATGAAATAATAAAGATCAGAGTGGAAGTCAGTAAAATGGAAAAACAATAGAGAAAAAAATCAGTGAAACGTAAAGGTGGTTCATTGAGAAAGAAGATTAATAAGAGAAGACACAAATTGCCACTAATACCAGAAATTAGAGAGGTGGCATCAGATATTAAAAGGATTATCGGGGAATATTATGAACATTGCACTAAATTTGACAATTTAGATTAAACGGAAAATTCCTTGAGAGACATAAATTACCAAAGTTCACTCAAGAAGAAATAGCTCCATATACCTGGTAGTTTTATAGTATTAAAGAAGTTGAACCTTTATTTTAAAATCTTACCGTCATGTTCAGATTATTTTAAAACTCTCAAACCTCAATAATAAGAAAACAAACAACCCAATTTTTTTAATTGGCAAAAGATTTGAACACACATTTTACAAAAGAAGATATACAAACAGCAAATAAACATACAAAAGTATGGGGACTTCCCTGGTGGCGCAGTGGTTAACAATCACCTGCCAATGCAGGGGACATGGGTTTGAACCCTGGTCCCTTCCACATGCCGTGGAGAAACTAAGCCTGCGTGCCACAACTATTGAAGCCCGCGCGCCTAGAGCCCGTGCTCTGCAACAAGAGAAGCCACCGCAATGAGAAGCCCAGGCACCGCAACGAAGAGTAGCCCCCACTCGCTGCAACTAGAGAAAGCCCACGCGCAGCAATGAAGACCCAATGCAGCCCCAAAATATAATTAATTAATTTTTAAAAACATACAAAAATATGCTCAACATTATTAGTCATTAGGGAAGTGCAAATCAAAACCACAATGAAATAATATTTCACACCTACTTGTAATAAAAAGACTGACCATACCAGGTGTTGGCAAGGCTGTGCAGGAACTGGAACTCTTATACCCTCTTTGTAGGAATAAAAAATGATACAACCACTTTGGAGAACAGTTTTGCAGTTTCTTAAAAAGTTAAATATACACCTGTCTCACGACCTCGACATTCTACTTCTAGGTATTTACCCAAGAGAAATGAAAGCATATACCACACAAAAATGTATACACCAATGTTCATGGCACATCTACCATATTTGTAATAGCCAAAAACTGGAAACAACCCAGTGTCAACAGGTAAAAGAATAAATACACTGCAGCATATCCATTCAGTGGAATACTACTCAGCAATAAAAGGAGTGATACACACAGTAGGATGGATGAATCTCTAAATAATCATGCTGAATGAAAAAACCTGGAAATACAAGAGTACATACTGCTTGACTGAATTTATAACAATTCTATAAAATGCCAATTACTCTGTAGTTACAGATCAGTGGTTGCTTGAAGATGGGAGGCATAGGAGTTGGAGGGAGTGGAGGAGTTATGAAGGACAGAAGAAACTTTTGAGGGTGATGGATATGCTGGTTATCTTGATGGTTTCACAAGTATATACATTTGCCAGAACTTATCAAATTGTACATTTTATAAAGATGCAATTCATTATATGTATGCAAGCTATATCTCAATAAAGTTGCTATAAAAATTATAGACACTGTTTCTGAGAGACACCTCTTCTGCCTCTCTCCCTCTCCTACTTCTGTTTGCCTGATCAGATGGGGAGGTTTGGGTACCTAGTCACCCAAGGATCACAGCATCTCATGGATTTGCCCACTCTCCTCTGCTTTGTAGCAGTGAAGCCCCTATAAGTACTCCCTTCACCACACTGTTTTTTCATGGCTGCATGTACCTTCTAGGAAGCACCTTCCTAGGAATGCATCTGCCGTTCCTTTCAGCTGGCTCACTGCAAACACTCTTGCTGGTTTCCCTTCAGCTCGGTAAGCTGCTGCCCACAACTTGAGCGAATAGGTAAAAGCTAATACCCATTGTATCATTACCCGTGGATGCTGTAACAAATTACCATAAATTTGGTAGCTTAAAAACAAAAGAAATTTATTATCTCAGAGTTCTGGAGTCCAGAAGTCTGAAATCAAGGTGTTTGCAGGGCCACACTCCCTCCAAAGGCTCTAGAGGAGAATCCTTCCTTACCCCTTCCAGCTCTGGTGGCCCTAGATGTTCCTTGACTTGTGGCCACATGACTCCAGTCTCTGCCTCCATCTTCATGGCCATTCCCCTTTGTCTCTCAGGTCTCCCTCTGCCTTTCTCTTACAAGGACACCTGTCATTGGATTTAGGGCCCTCTCTAAATCCACAATGATCTTATCTTGAGATCCTTAATTACATCTGCAAGGACCCTTTGCACATTCACAGGTACTAGTGGTTAAGACTTGGACATATCTTTTGGGGGGCTACTATTCAATTCACTACAGCTATCTATATCTTCAAATTTCTAGGGATAGGTCAAGGGTAAGGCATGTGGCATTATCATAGGACCTGAGATACATGGGCAGGATCTACAAGTGTTTCAGCCTGTGAAGTCCTTTTGCTTGGGCTTCTGTGATATCCCAGTGAGATCTGAAAAGGAAATGATCTGACCTCCTTTGCCCCACTGTATTGCTATGGTGATGACCCACAGCCTCAGGGCCATTCACAGCCCAGTAAATTTGGCAGATGGCTGGCTAGTCTTATGCAGTAGTCACAGGGCTTGGAAGGAAGGAACATTTATTGAATCCCTAATCTGTGCCAAGATTTCCACTTTAATCTCTACAAAAATCCTGAGGTAGGTTGTAGATTTCCCATTTTATAGATGAAGAAACTGGTTAGGGAACTTTTCTAATTTGCCCAGAATCACGCAGTCAGTAAATGGCAAGGCTAGGATTTATAATGAGTTCTCCTGGATCCGAAGCCTAGTAACATTTTTGCCATATAGGACTCGATCACAAGCCCAGGGAAGATAAGGGACCAAACCCATACTTCCCTACTCAAGATCATTACCGGTTCCCTCGGAAAATGGCCATTTAGTGATTAGTAACTTGTTAGTGGCACACGACTGGCACCCAGTGGCTATAGCTAAAAACCACAAGATTGACGATAGGCCCGATTCTTTCACCTCTGCACCAGCCCCTCAGTTTCCATTTCTAAACAGGTGAGTAGAATAGCTGACCTCTTGAGTAACATTGAATAAAACCATCTATGGCTATTATATAGTTTATGGAGAAATGAAAGAAATGAGAGAATATTTAGGGTTTTATAGAATATATTCATGGAAAGGTCGTGCCAAGAGTGGAGACATTAAGCCTTGGTGTTGGAACAGGGGACAGTGGGCCATGAAGACAAGATAGTAATCCTGGACTTACTGTCACATTTGAGTGTAGGGACTAAAAACTTAAACCCAGAGTAAGCAGGAGCAGTAGCATGGAGGCAGCTTCCTAAGGAAAGGTATTGTTTCGCAGGTGGTAGACCAGAATGAAATGTCTCATAGAGTGTTAAAACTCAAGGAGGTCTATCCTGAGGATAGGGCTCTCTCATCTGGGGGACCTGATGAGAATGGAAGGTGTGCAAGGCTCTCCTAGGACTCAGAGATTTATATCTGAATGTAGGTATTTCCTTGGGTAAAGGTTTGTCTATTACATGAGGCTTCTAGGCTGGAGTGAAGTAAAAGAATAAGCTTTTTCTTAAAGAAGAAAAAAGATGTTTGGAAATTTTCCTAATACTGTTTCTTTTTCACACCTTTAGGGCCATCTTTACCTCTTCTATGTTTCTTGGAATATAATTACTTAGAAACTGAAACTTGCCTTGTTAAACAACATATGATAGAATACATTTTTTTTGTTATAATTCACATACCATGAAATTTACCACTGTAAATTTACAATTCAGTGGTTTTAAGTATATTCACTGTGGTTTGCAGCCATCACCAGTAAATTCCAGAACATCTCCATCACGCCAAAGAAAAAAACCTTGTACCTAATTTGCAGTCAGTCCCAATTCTCCTATCTCCTGTCCCCTGGCAACCACTAATTTACTTTTCCTCTCAGTGGATTTGCCTATACTGGATATTTCATATAAATGGCATCATACAATAAGTGGATTTTTGTGTCTGGCTTCTTTCACTTAGCATAATGTTTTCAAGGTTCATCCATGTTGTAACAGGTAACAGTACATTCCTTTTTTATGGTTGAGTAATAGTCCATTGTATGGATATACACCACATTTTTTAATCCATCCATCAGTTGATAGACATGTTATTTCCACTTTTTGGCTATTATGAATAATGCTGATGTAAACATTTTTGTGTGTGTGGACATATGTTTGTCATTCTCTTTGGTGTATAGCTAGGGGCAGAATTGCTGGGTCATATGGTAACTCAAACTGTTTTCCAAACTGGCTGCATTATTTTACTTTCCCACCAGCACTGTGTAATGGTTCCAATTTTTCCATATCCTCATCCACAGTTGTTATTATCTATTATTATTACTACCATCCCAGTGGGTATAAAGTGGAATCTCATAGTGGCTTTGATTTGCATATCCCTAATGAATAATTATGTTGAGCATCTTTTCATGTGCTTATTGGCCATTTATATCTCTTCTTTGGAGAAATGTCTATTCAAATTCTTTGTCAAACCCATTTTTTTATTGGGTTGTTATTTTAAAGTTGAACTATGAGTTCTTTATTCTGGATACAAGTCCCTTATCAGATATGATTTCCAAATATTTTCTCCCATTCTTGTGGGTTGACTTTTCACTTTCAAGTGTCCCTTGAAGCACAAAAGTTTTTAATTTTGATGAAGAGGATATCTATTTTTATATACTTGTATTGAAAAACAAGGAACTGGGAGGATTGGGTTCTGACCTTTGTTTCTCTGTCCAAATTGAACCAAATAGCAGGGCTTTGAAAGCTACACAAGACTACAAAATGTGCCCTGTGGCTTCCCATGTTTGACCTCAGTCAGTCATTTGTTGAGCACTTACCGTGTGCGAGGCACTATGCTAGCTGTAAAAGAGATACAGGCATGATGAACCTTACAAGGAATTTAAGATGTAGGAAATGGACATAAATACATAAATTGATGAAAAGGGGCATGCAATGCATACTTAAAAGAGCCCAAGGAATGGAGCAGACAGTACATGAGTGACCAGAGTTCAGAAAAGCTAGGAAATGCCCGGAATGGCTGGAGTGAACTGCAAAGCCTCCAAAAGAAGAAGGAAGTCTTAAAAGTTGGGGGCTGGGCAGGGGGTTCACATGAGCCAGGAGGAAGTAATAGGGGGTTCCAGGTGAAGGAGGAAAGCCCTGTGAGGTCAACAAAGCCACCAGGCACGTGATCTCACTGGGGCTTGTTCATGCTTCTGCAAAACTCACTTAGGACTTCTAATTTTTTAAGCAGCTGCTCCCAGAGAAAAATAATACAGAGCAGAGCACAGAGGATGCACATGAGAACAGCAGCCTGGAGCTCCTTGCAGGTAAGGTTTCATTCAGCTTTTCAGGTGAGCCCTGGATCAAAGCTGGGAAGTCAAAGATGTGACTTCAAACCTTCAGACAGCACCTTACACCACAGCAACGTTCTGGGCTTTGGTTGTGGCTCCCACCACCACTCTGGGTATTCTGGGGCAGCAGGAGGCATTCCCTTCCAAAAGCTGCTACGACAGGGCTAGAAATTGCTCAGTTTGTGCAGTTAGATAGCTGCACATGATGGGGCAGGGCCCTGAATTCAGCTGGTTCCTTCATGTTTTCATCATTATAGTGTTGCTACTGTGGCCGTCCTTAGTTCTGGTTACTACTGTGTTTGGGGCTCCGGAGTCTGCTCCTGGTTGCAGACACCACCTCAACCTTGATAAATGTTATGGGGAGGTGTCAGTGTGTGTAATGTGACGGTGATTATATTGTCTTTTTCCCTCCCTCCAACACTTAAACAGCCTTCAGGGCCTGCAGTAGCAGGTGTGTATGTCTGAAAATAATCATAGCCACTGGTGCTTGAACTGGTATGGTGCAGGTGCCAGGCACTAGTCCGAGATTTGAAAGTGTATTAACGCTCTTAATTCTCAAAACAGTACTATGGTACTATTATTATCCTCATTCTACAGATGTGGAAACAGAGGCCCAGAGATGTCAATAAACTTACCTGAGGTCACACAGCTAGTAAACGACAGAGCCAGAATTCAAACCCAGGCAGTCTGGCTCTGGTCTATCTCTAACAGAGCCAGGCTGGTGGGGATGCACTGTCGGACCAAACAATGCCTGGGCTTGAGGGAATTTGGGGACTGCTTTCAGCAGCGTGCTTTGCTGGTAAAATTCCTCTCTCCAGGGTAACAGCTACAACATACTGCATGGCGTCTGTGCTTAGGCCTAAGATGTGTTTCTGAATCATTCTGTCAATTAAACTGTATTTTAAATGTTGTGGGGGCTGTTCCTCCCAAAAAGAACCCTGCAGCAAAGGCTGGTACAAAGCCAAGAATCTATAATTTAGATTTGGAGATTTAGAAGAATGGAAGTGTATCATATAGCACAATTCAGCATTCACCACATACGATTCACTATTTATGTAGTGAAAAGACAAAAGAATAAGTACTTTCCTTAGAAGAAAAAAATTAACATTTAATTCAGCACCTTCTGTGGACCCAGGGAGATGCTAGGCTCTTCCAGTGACCACTCTCACAGTGACCCTTTGGGGTGGGTAGCATTGGCCCCCTCTCACAAGAGACAACCCAGGTTCAGAGATAGGATAGAGCACTTAGCAGGAGGAGGATCTGAACTCCTGCTGCCTGTATAGCTCATGCTTTCTCTACAATGCAACATAAGCCTTAAAATCTAGGTGTTTATGATCTGGTGGACCGCTCCCTAGAAGAGTGTTTGAGCTGCTCTGCCTTACAGAGCTGCAACTCTAGTTGCCGTCAGTCCTATGTTCCACATGGGCAGCTACACTGAAGAAAATCACTAAGTGTGTGATGCCACTGTACACCTGTGGTCCATTCCCTGAGGAGCCTTCAGTTTGTCAATTCTTTCCATTGTCTTCCTGGCCTTCTCCTCAGTGGCCACTCCATCCTTTTTTTTTTTTTTTTGTGGTACGAGGGCCTCTCACCGTTGTGGCCTCTCCCGCTGCGGAGCAGAGGCTCCGGACGCACAGGCTCAGCGGCCATGGCTCACGGGCCCAGCCGCTCCATGGCATGTGGGATCCTCCCGGACCGGGGCACGAACCCGTGTCCCCTGCATCGGCAGGCGGACTCTCAACCACTGCACCACCAGGGAAGCCCGCCACTCCATTCTTTTAAAAAACTACCAAGCCTCGTCCTCCTGATTTAGCCTCCTACTTCACTTACTAATCTCTTTTTTCAGTAAACTCACCCAGTTTGTACTCCCCCCACTGCCAGAACCTTATCAGCATAGGGACTCACCCCCTCCAGGCTAAGGGGTGGCATTATCCTTACTGCTTTCATGGTAGCACGTTATCATCTCTGCACCTTCAACTTCTTTTCTGAGTTCCTTTCCCTCAGGAGGTCCATCTTCAAAAGGATATCTCCCATGATCTTGAACTTCTCCCACCTCTCTCTCTCCATCATATCTCAATCAAGTTTCTCAAAAAAGCAAGCTACACTGTTTCCCTCTCTTTCTTTCATTCTCTCCCTAACCCAGGGCACTTGCTTTCCCTGTGGCCTCTGAACTGCAGTCTCTTGTTTGGGAAGGCCTCTTAATTACCAAATTGATGACTGTGCATTTATCTTTATCACACCTGGACTATTTGCAGAGCTTGGCACTGTGAGACTATGACTCATCAGGTTCTCCCCATCTCTTCTCTCTTCGACTAGCTTCCTCTGGCCACCCCCAAATAGTGCTCATACTGCAGTCCCTCCCTAGCTGCTCTCTTCCATCCCAGGCGTTGACCCCTGCCTCTGGGCAGAAGACTCCTCAGCTGGTATGACCATTCCAGGTCTCTCCTGAGTGTTAGGTGGGAGATATATCTGCTCACTAGGCTGCTACATATGGCGGTCCCACTGGTACCTCAATTTCCTTTCTCCTGATATCTTGCCCTCTGCACACACACCCAAAATCAGCTCTTCTTTCTTCAGTCTCTGTCATGACTACTAGCACAACCTATCCAGTTTTTCACATCTGAAACCTGAGACTCGTTTGAGATGCCCCCCATTCTAATGTTTCATATCCAGTCTACTACCAAGGCTTGTCAATTCGGCCTTATGAATACTTCTGACTCCTCCATCCCCGCTGCCTTCACTTCTTCTGGGCTCTTGAGGTCTTCGCTCCTCTAAGCTGACTCTAAGCCACACCTTTGACGAATGATGACTTTTCTGAAATACAAAATTAACAATATATCTCCAGTGTTTAAAAACTCTTCACTGCCTTCCTATTTCCTACAGATAAAAATCCATTTCTTAGCCTTCTCTGATTCCCACTAACCCATTCAGATTCATCTCCTTGGACCCCCCCCCACTTTGCATTTTGGGTGGGATACTGTTTAATGCCTTTGGGTGTTTGCTTAACCCTTTCAGCCTGTTAATCCTTTCCTCTGCCTTGTCAGTCTGGTGTATTACTCTTCATCCTTCAAAACCCATCTCAGACATTTCCTCAAGGAAACATTTTTCACTTACAGAGATGGTTAACAGCTTCTTTGTTTTACCCCTGGACTTTGTACACACTTCTGCATCGTTCCTAGCATCTGTGAGCTTCACCCAGGGAACAGCTCATTGATCTACATTCCTAGGACGTGCTCAGGAAGAACCTGTAGATCCAAACTTACTTTAAGTTTGCACTGCCTAAGCAGCGTGCCCAACAAAGGGGGAGAGAGGTGAGGCCGGCTTTCTGGCAGGGGAATCACAGTTTGGCAGGGAGGGAGGAGCTGGATGGTGCAGACTCCACGAGGAATCTGTGTGAAGTGACCAAGTGGGCGCAAGCCCCAAGTGAGGGCTTGGTTCAATCCCAGACGCCTCTTCCCAGGCCCAGCTCAGTGGCTACAGAGAGACCCCGAAGCCATTGTGCAGCCTCAGCCTGACCCTGAAGACCCGGAGCTGCCGGGTTTTGATCCGGACAGGACCAGATGAAAGGGTCCTGAGGTGGGAGGGCTAAGAGAGCCGGACTCCAGCTCCTCCGTTTCTCCCAGGTTTCCCCCAAGGGTCGTCCTAGCACAGGACATGGGAGCGGGCTTGTTTTCTCCTAGGGACCAGCGGGCAAGTAGAAAACAAGAGTCTCAAAAGAGGCAGGCTCTGCCAAGGAGTGGAGGAGACGCGGGCTTTCCGCTCCCCTCGGGCCCTGAACCCGTCAGAGGCCGCCTTGGGCCGCGCGGAACCCACCGCGGCTCCCCTGACCCCTAGCAGAAACAGGACGGGCCCCAGGAGCGGCCTGGAGGTAACCGGGCTAAGGCCGCGCAGGGGAGGGAGCGGCGGGAGGGCGGGGACCCGGCCGCTGCCAAGGGGTCCTCACCCCGGGCCCCCTTTCCTCCCGCAGGACGCGCTGTGGCTGCAGGAAATCTCCAATCTGTCCGAGTGGCTAAGTCCCGGCTCTGCGTCCTGAATCGAGCCCCCTCCCGCCGCCTCCACGTCTGCCCCGCCGCTGCCGGGGCCGCATGTTGTCTGTAGTTCAATAAACCTACTCTGCGCGCGCAGTTTCTGCTTCAGTGTCGGGGAGGAGTCGGGGGCGGGGCTGGAGCCCGAGCCGCCGGGTGACGTCACCACGCTTCCGGCCGGAGCGGGCCTGGCAGCGGCGGGACCGCGTCACTGGGGCGCGCCGCGGGTCGGGGCGCGATGGCGGCGCTGGGCGGGGACGGGCTTCGCCTGCTGTCGGTGTCGCGGCCGGAGCGGCAGCCCGAGTCGGCGGCTCTGGGCGGTCCAGGCCCCGGTTTGTGCTGCTGGGTGTCCGTGTTCTCTTGTCTCAGCCTCGCCTGCTCCTATGTGGGCAGCCTCTACGTCTGGAAGAGCGAGCTGCCCAGGTGCGGGGGCTGCGCGCGCGCGGGCGCGCGCGCGCAGCCAAAACCCGCGCCTCCACGAGGCGGGGCTATGGGCGGAGCTTGGGCGAACAGAGGGTGGGGCCGCGCTGTCAGGAGGTGGTTGTGGTCCCCTTGAATTTACTGCCTCCTTCATAGGGACCATCCTGCCGTAATCAAGCGGCGCTTCACCAGTGTCCTGGTAGTGTCAAGTCTCTCGCCCCTCTGCGTGCTACTCTGGAGGGAACTTACAGGCATCCAGGTGCGAAGGAGGCGGGGCAGAGGGCAGCGGGCGAGAGGTCTCAGGGCTCATTGGGGGAGGAAGCAAGACTGATGCCCCCTTTCCTGTGGCTCAGCCAGGCACATCCCTGCTCACCCTGATGGGATTCAGGTTGGAGGGCATTTTTCCAGCAGCGCTGCTGCCCCTGCTGCTGACCATGGTGAGTGCTCTTGCTTTATTTTTCCTTCTCTGCTCTTTGTTATTAGCGTGACGCTTCTTTACGTGGCCTTTTATTCTAATCCTGATTGTATCCAGCTTTTGACTGATGGGAGACAAGAATTGTGAGATGGCTCAGGGCCCTCGGGTATGCATCTATGGAAGCTTGAAGTCTCATGAAGCCATGTCTGGGCAAGGGCAGTGGATTCTGGTTTGAAACTTTCCTTTGATCGCTCCTGTTTTTCTGCCCCCAGATCCTTTTCCTGGGCCCACTGATGCAGCTCTCTATGGATTGCCCCTGTGACCTGGCAGATAGGTTGAAGGTTGTCCTAGGTGAGTCCTCAGGGCCAAGAAAAAAAGTAGGTACAGGCAGTCCAGGACAATGAGGTAAGGGGATCAGTGTGCTTATGGTGGGTCCTGGACATGAGACATGAGATGTTCTGTTTCCTCATCAGTAAAGCGGGAGCACATATCCGGTGGTCTCAAAAAGTTAGTTCCTGTCCAGTGAGGCCTGTAGGGACCCCAGGCAGTACTTGTCGTGGACAAGAAAGCATTGTCCGTTACTTCCCTTAACCTTTGGTTTCCCGAACTAGAGCTGGTTTTGGGCAAGTTTTGATGTTTCCAGAGTTTACAGTCAGGACACCTTGCCTCAGCTACTAATGCCTTCCCTTTCGGTCCCCTTGAGACGCTGTTTTATACTAGGTCCGATAAGAAAATTTGACCCTTTCCTGTTCTCACAAGTATTTATGCCTAAGCTGAGTTTGGCCAGGGGGAGGTTGTGGCAGAGGGGCCCTTGGGGCCTCTAGGGTCATTTTGTTCAATAGCTAGTCACTCATTGCTTGCCCTGAATCCCCTTCCTAGCCCCTCGCTCCTGGGCCCGCTGCCTCACAGACATGCGCTGGCTGCGGAACCAAGTGATCGCCCCCCTGACAGAGGAGCTGGTGTTCCGGGCCTGCATGCTGCCCATGTTAGCACCGTGCACAGGCCTGGGCCCTGCTGTGTTCACCTGTCCACTCTTCTTTGGAGTTGGTGAGTTTGTCCAGCCTGGTCCTACTGAAATGTTCCTGGCATGGGAACCAAGAATGGGGTTTGGGGCAAGGGCAGGGCCTATAGGGCAGGCTGGGAGGAATGTGATGTGGTTCTCATCTTCCTCAGCCCATTTTCACCACATTTTTGAGCAGCTTCGTTTCCGCCAGAGCAGTGTGGGGAGCATCTTCTTGTCTGCAGGTGAGTCCTAGAGAGCTTGCCTGGGGCAGTCCTGGGTTGGGTGTGTGAGGGTGTCCCTGATAAGTCACTCTGGAGGAAGAATGGGGAACAGAGGGCTGCAGTATTGGAGGGGCCGCTGACCATGGGAGTTGGGGTGTAGAGAACAGCCTAGGTACTGGGGCAGGCAGCCACTGCCCCCAGGGGAAGGGGTTGTCTCTGGCTGATGGGTGTGCAGTGCTGGGGCAGGAAGGGCATGCAGGTGTGGTCACTCGAGGCCTCCCCGTCTCCAGCGTTCCAGTTCTCCTACACAGCTGTCTTCGGTGCCTACACTGCTTTCCTCTTCATTCGCACAGGTTGGTCCTCAGTCTCTCGGGTCCCCTGGGGCTCAAGGGCCCACAGGAGTGGGTGGGAGAATGGGAATCTGTGTCTGTTCTAGGAGCGACAAGTTTCTTCTACCGCAGTCCTTGAGACAGGCTGAGCCTGGGCCCTCGGCCTGCTGTGGTTTGAGAGCTGGCAGGAAGCACAGGCTGTGGTGTGTGGGTGGATGGGTGGGGCAGTGATCTCCTGTTTCAGGGGATGAAGGGTCTTAACCCTGGAAGGGCCCGGGGAGGTGGTGGGGCTGCTCCATGAGCTACTCTGTCTCCCCTCCCCAGGACACCTGATTGGGCCGGTTCTCTGCCACTCCTTCTGCAATTACATGGGCTTTCCTGCCGTATGTGCGGCCCTGGAGCATCCGCAGAGGCGGCTCCTGCTGGCAGGCTATGCCCTGGGTGTGGGATTCTTCCTGCTTCTGCTCCAGCCCCTCACGGACCCTAAGCTCTACGGCAGCCTTCCCCTTTGTGTGCTTTTGGAGCGGGCAGGGGACTCAGAGGCTCCCCTGTGTTCCTGACCCACGCTCCTGTACACACTCCTATGAACTCTCATGGGCTTCCCAGCCCCTCCCCATCAAGGGGTACTGCAGGGGAGGAGCTGGCTGGGGTCCCCGAGAACTCAGGAATTTTTGTAGGGGATTGAAGCCAGAGCTAGTTGAATCCCAGGGACCAAGAGAAAGGAGTAGATATCCAAAGGATGTGGCCCCTCCTGAAAGGGGGTTGAGGAGCAGCCAGGAGTGAGGGGACAAGGGGCGGGTCCCAGGAGCCGTGCACTCCCTTCCTCACTTTGGACTGTTGCTTCTCTGAGCTGCTCTGTCCCCCCTGCCTCTGAAAAGCTGCTCGGGGGTGGAATTTACAAAAACCCTCCCCCCACCTTCCCAGGGTTTTCTCATTGTCTTTTTGCATCAGGACTTTGTATTGGGATATTAAAGAGATTTAACTTGGGTAACATGGCCTTGGACCTTTGGGAATTAGTCTCTTTGGGGTCTTGGGAATATGCCCCTCACCTGGTCCTGGCTACCTTGAACATTAACCTCTAGGCAGGGAAGCCTGGTAGGCATAGTTCCCTGAAGTACCAGACAGGATGGGAGCCTGTGGTTGCCCTGGGTCTGCAGCTTTCTCCTTCCTGAGCAAGGCCCCAAGTCCTAGCACAGGTGGGCCTGGGACTAGGTACCAGGTGTGGGCCCAGCTCATCCTGGGACCTGTGCCTATCTACCAGGATCAGAGTAGAACCCAGGGCCTTGACCCCAGTGACGGAGCCTCCAGCCTCTGAGAGGGTGGGGGAATCCACTACGGACCTTCCACCAGGACCTCCCCGAAGTCTACCAGCCTCACATTACACAAGAGGAAATAAGTGTAAACTGGAAGTTCAGTCACCTGGGAGGCTTCTTTGGCTCTCTCCACCTCAGACCTCTGCCACCGTGCCAGTCGTTTGGTCTCTGGAGGAACCCAGAACAAAGGTCCAGCAAGCATAAGCAACCCTGCCAAGCAACACTGTAACTCAGGGTTCTTTCTAGAACTTGGTAGTGTTTTACCTGCTCTTCCTCGTGATTTTGGAATGGTTCTTATAGTCTCATTCCGCTGCCCCTAGGACACCCCCCCCCCCACTTTTTTTTAAACATTCTTAATGTTATCCCTTTAGGTCCCATTCCAGACTCAAGGAGATTGTCCCAAGTCCCCTTCCCTGAGGCTGGTTGTCGAAGGAAAGGAAACCGCTGTGCAGTCACTCCCCAGAGCTCCCGCAGGTTGGCTGTGGCTAAACTGGATCTAAAAGGGCATCGTGACAGTCACATACCTACCTCCCTGGAGAGCTTTCCTCTCCCCCAGCCTGTGTAGCAGCTGTCAGGGAAGCCAAGGAATTGAGTACAGGCTGGTTTTAGAGGGTACATTTGGGATCTGGGAGTTGAGAGAGGCGGCGGCCCAGGACCACACCAAAGGTTAGGTGTAGTACCCTGAGAGCACTAGGCTGGCAGGGTGCTGGGATGTACTTCCTGCCTGGTCCCCTGAGGGTCAGGGGATCTGGGCTCTGTCCCTCCTCTTCCTTATGCTCCTGCTCAGGAACTGCCCAGGATCCCCCTGCCTTTCTCTTTACTCACCATCCTTACCTCCCCTGTGCGGTGGGCAGCGGTGCAGTGACATGGGCAGGATTGCTGTCCCACCCCACAGGTGAGGGAACTGCAGGGAAGAATTGGGATTCTCCCGAGGGCTGATTTGGGGGTCAGGGGGTCAGGCAGGATTAGATCCTGGGACTCAGTCCAGTGCTTCTAACCTCCCACCAAAATCCACACCCAGAGGTTCCCACACCCAAGGGTCTCGTCTGCCTCTAGAAAGTGGTGTCTGTTTGCATCTAGTTCTGGATAGGGTGGTGGGTTGGTCCCAGCTTAGAAAAGAAAGCAGTGTAGTTGAGAAGCAAGTCCACCAGCAGCCTGGGTTTGAACTCTCTCTGCCTCTTAACTAGCTGTCAGTCAGGTCCTGGGCAAGTTATTTAACCTGCCTATGACTCCATTTCTGTGTCTATAAAATGGGTGAAAATGTTAATAGGTGTTGAGTTAATAGGTGTTAAGTGCTTGGAACAACCCCTTCCCCAGCCCAAGCTCTCAGTGACAACTAGATTATCCTATTTGGGGTGTGTATACAATAGGCACTTAGTAGTGACGTAAAACCAGGGCCACTGTTGTCATCCTCACTACCCTCCTAGGAGGAAGATACAACTGACTGCCCCCCTGCCCATGGGGGAGTCCAAGAGGCAGCCCTGCCCCTCTGCCGTGTGGCACTGGGGTGGGGTGGGCTGCACAGGACCCAGAATGGAGGGAAGGGGAAAGCCAGTTTTATTGAGTGAAGTTCTCAGACCTGGGACTTAGGTTTCCCCTGCAGGAGGCAGGGCCCCTAAGTCTGCTTCCCTAGGTCCCAGGCCTGCCTGCACCCCCACCTGTAGTCTCCAGCAGGGGGGGACCCTTATTTGGCAAGGGATGAATATGTGAGCGACTGTCCACCGGCAGGAAAAGGAGAGGGCAGGAGGAAAGGCATGGACCACTACAGGCAGTGTCTCTCCTGCCACAAACAACTGAGGACAGGAGGTCCAGGGCCCGGCCTTCCTGCCCTCGGGCACTGGCTGGCCTGGGCCTGCCCTGGCAGCGCAGCACCTTGAAGGCTTGGGGTGGGGATGGCCAGGCTGCCAGTCTGGGGCAAGATCACTCAATCTCCAGGATGAGGTCGTCACCCTCCAGTGTCATGTCTGTAGTCACGTGGACCTTGCGGACAGTGCCCTCCACGGGCGAAGTCACTACAGTCTCCATCTTCATGGCACTGAGCACACACAGAGGCTGGCCCTTGGTCACCTTGTCCCCTGCTGCCACCTTGATGTCTATCACCTTCCCAGGCATGGGTGCCCCAATCTGGCCCTTCACATCCTTCAGGGCCTTGGGGTGGAAGTGCATCTCCTGCAGACAGGGGAGAGGACGTGAGACACCAGGCCCTGCCCATCCCCACCACCTGGCTGGCCCTGTGGCGGGGGGGGCGCTGTACCTTCATGGCCTGAGTATCCTTGACCAGAATGGATCGCAGCTGTCCATTGAGCTCGAAGAAGACCTGCCTCTGGCCGGCCCGGTTCAGGTCACTTACGGCCAGGGCTTTGATGTGCAGCGTCTTGCCTCGCTCCAGCTCCACCTGCAGGGAGGGTGTGGAGGCTCAGAGCTGGGATGGGGGCAGGTGCGGGGAGGGCAACCCCCTGACCCAATCCCAGGCAAGTCCCCCCTCTCTGGGTCTCAGCTCCTCCCTTGTAAAGGCCTAGCTCCCTGGTCTCTTAAGGGTACTTTGTGAACCCACAGCTCACGAGGCCCAGTGACGGCCAAGCCAAAGCCTGGCACTCTAGATGTGCTGGGGTCCTTAGGGATAGCAGGAGTGCTGGGGTGGAGTGCAGATGGGTGCCAGAGCCACTGACCTCAAACTCCTCTGCAATTTTGGGTCCCTGCAGGAAGAGGCGGGTGTTGAGGCTGTCCAGGGGACCAAAGGTGGCAGTGAAGTCCTTGAAGTGGGCAAAGACGTCGGGGTACATGGCCGCTGAGAGTACATCCTCCGGGGTCACCTCCTCCCCATGCCGTTCTATCAGCCCCTTCTCCAGTGCCTGCAGATCCAGGGGAGGGAGGGAGGCTCCGGGCCGTCCCTCCACCCTTGGCAGGTCCTTTAGCACCTGGGGTGCAAAGCAGAGGGTCAGGCCTGATTCCTGGACTCCCCTCCGCCTCACCACATTGTGCTGGGCCTTCCTTACCTTGGAGCGAAGGGGCTCAGGGAACCCCCCGTGGGGGATGCCAATGTACCCCTGCAGGAACTCCACCACTGAGCGGGGGAAGGACAGCTCTTCTGCCTGAGCTTCGGCCTCTGCCCGGCTCAGCCCATTCTGCACCATAAACTGGGCCAGGTCCCCCACGATCTTGGAGGAGGGGGTTACCTGAGGAGAGGGGACCCCTGGGTTAGGGTGCCAGGCACCGTATAGAGGCCCAGAGGCAGGGGTAAGAGCACTGGGCCTGGCTCACCTTGATGAGGTCGCCCAGCATCTGGTTGGCCTCCACATAGGCCTTCTTGACCTCCTTGAACTTGGAGCCGAGCCCCATGCTATATGCTTGGAAGTGCAGGTTGGTGTACTGGCCCCCTGGGATCTCATTCTCATACACATCAGAGTTGCCAGACTTCATGGTGGCCGTGCAGTCAAAGGCCGCATACAGTCCCCGGGCCCCCTCCCAGTACTCACTGTAGTCAAACACACGGTCCAGGGGCACCCCTGCAGGGAGGCCAGAGGCAGAGAGGGCTTGGAAATGTGCTGAGCTTCCAGATGCTCCTCCCAGGACCCCAGGGCCAGGTCAGGCCACATCGCAGACGTGGCTGATGGAAGGCAAGACCAGGCCAGGCCGGAGCATCTGGATTCTAGGATATGCCCAACTCTGCTGGGACTGGTGAGGGCTGCAGCTCTGAGAGGGGAATGGCCTTGGGCTGTGGCTGTTCCTACCTGTGTCCAGGGGAGTCCCTCGGGTACAGGCCACCAGGGCCCCCATGCTGGGCTGTGAAGTCATTCCAGACATGGAGTCAGCTGCCACGTCTACCACATCAGCGCCTGCGTGGGCACAGGCCAGCATGGCTGCCACGCCTGCCCCTGACGTGTCGTGGGTGTGGATGTGCAATGGGAGGTCAGGGAAGCGGTCTCGGAGGGAGGTGACCAGCATGGTGCAGGCCGTTGGCTTCAGCAGCCCTGCCATGTCCTAAGGGAAGAGGGGAGGAGAAAGAAAGACGGTGAGGAGGGGGCGTGACATGGGGGGGATGAGGGACATGGTGGGGAGACTCCTGGGGGTGGGCTGGGCCCAGGCACCTTGATGCACAGGATGTGGGTGCCAGCTCGCACCAGCTCTTCAGCCAGGCCCATGTAGTACTGCAGTGAATATTTGGTACGGCTGGGGTCGGCCACGTCACCCGTGTAGGAGATCGCGGCCTCCACCACACCACCAGCACTGCCCGCCGCCTCCATGCCCAGCAGCAGGTTGGGCAGGTAGTTGAGGGAGTCAAAGACCCGGAAGACATCCATGCCATTCTCCTTGGCTACCTCACAGAACCTGAGTGAGTAGGAGAGCTCAGGGGTTAGCGCCATCCCACTCCCTGCAGCACATCCTTTTCTGCCTCCTGGCCCACTTGCAGCCCCTGGGGAATAATATGTGACAGTCGGGTCTGGCAGGGGGCGTGGCACCCACAGAGCCAGGGGCACCACAGTATGTCCATAGTGTGGACAAGGCCTCTCCAGGGCAGCCTGGGCTGGGCAGGGTCGCCCCAGCAGCATCCGGCAAGGACCGGAGCTGTCCTGTGCTAGTCGCATGCAGTGCAGCTCAGTCTGCCCAAGTTCGAAGAATCTGCTGGGGATTCTGCTTTGCAAAGGAATGGCAGGCTGAGGGAAACAGTGTGGCCTGGGTTTCAGCCCCAGCTCTATACCACGTGGCCTGGGACAAGTCACCTGCCCTCCTGGGGCCTCCACTGGAAGCCCTCCCAGTTCTCTGACTGTAACTTGCAGCCCTTGCTGGGTACAGCTACCGAGAGACTTGGTTTCAAGCCCGCTGTGGGGAGCACAGGCCATTGCATTGTGGCCTGGCACCTGCTGGGCCACATCGTGCAGTGTCTGCCCACCCCACCCCAGGCTCACTTGAAAACCACATTGTCGGGGTAGTTGGTGTAGCCCACAGCATTGGCCCCCCGCAGCAGCATCTGGAACGGGATATTAGGGACGAGCTCCCGGAGCTCCTGCAGCCGCCGCCAAGGGCACTCGTACAGGAAGCGCATCGCAACATCAAATGTGGCTCCTGCACAGGGACCAAGAGGCCCAGGTCAACCCCGAAACGTCCTGGGGACCCCACCACGCCCTGCAGCTCTGCAGCCTGAGCCTCTGGCCCTACCACCAGGCCCTGCTCATCTTCAGCACCCCTCGCGTCCCAGCCACAATTCCTGCAGACTTTTTCCTTTGCTGATCTCTTGGGACAGCTCAGGTTTACTGTGTCCTCTCTGCATCCGCTTTCACAGCCCTCACCCCATACTCTCTGTGCTATAATTAACAGGCAGGCATCTCCTCCCTGACCCTGAGCTGCCTGGGTCTCAGCTCTGCGATCTCATGCCCAGCACCAGGACTGGCTAGAACGGGCACCAGTCACTATTTGCTAAACACATGAATGTCGTGCCTTGTTCCGTTCTCACTCGTTCCCTCAGTGTTAACATCTCTAGCTGTTCCTGGAGAGCCCGAGTGGCCTGCCTGTACTGTGGATACCACATTCCTGCCATGCACTGTCCCACATCCCATCCCATCCCTCCTCCAGCCTACCTCCCCAGTTCTCTATGCTGAAGAGTTTGCTGAAGTTGTGGGCAACATAGGGGGAGATCTTTTTGAGATCGTGGGTTCGCACACGCGTGGCCAGCAGTGACTGGTGGGCGTCCCTGAAGGTCGTGTCCATCAGCAGCAGCCCCTGGTGGTTCCTCACCGCTCGAGCAAAGCCCTCGGGACCCTCCCGCAGCAGGATGTCTCTGAAACCAGCTGGGGGCAGGCCTAGGGCAGACTGGGGCGTTAGCACTCATCCTGCAGGGGGCAGCCTCCTCTTTGTCTCCCCTATGAGGTGGCAGAATGAATCTCACCTACCTATGGGCACCACAGGGACAATAGGGTCCGTGGGGCTGGGGCTGGCCTTGACGGGGATCGGGGTGGTTGGGCCGTTCACCATGACGTGTCCTGGGGAGAGAGTGGGCAGTGGGTCAGGGCAGGCTGGGCAGAGCCTGAGTTGAGGGCAGAGAGTTGCTGGGCTCGGGGATGGGGGGATTCCTCCAGGGTCCCTGGTCTTCCAGCTGGCCCGTCCTCTCCAAAGCCAGGGCCTCCTGGGTCCAGGCAGTGGGGACCTAGTGACGGCCACATGGATGGGAAAGGGGGCCTCTAAGATCAGGAGCAAGGAAGGTGGGCGGGGTGGGAGGGTGAAGCAAAGGAAGAAGGTGCAGGACCAGACTGAGGACAGAGGCAGGGGCTGCTAGGAAGCTCTCTGGGCAGGGAGCCAGAAGCAAGGCATCTGGGAGGGGAGAGAAGGGCAGTCTCGGGGCCGGACCAAGGTAGTGCAGCAGCTTCTGGGCCCGGTTCTGTGCAGGCCGCAGCTGGAATAGCTCCGGGTTCTCATCGATGAACTGGGTGTCCACGGTGCCTGCCAGGAACTGCTGGTTGTTGAGCACGTTCTGCAGGAAGGGGATGTTGGTCTGCAGGACAGAGGCGGGTGGGAGGGTGTCACCGTGCAGCACAGACAGGGACAGGAGAGGCTAAAAGTGCCACCCTAGGCTAGCACAGCTGCCCAAGTTCCCCAGGGCACCATGCTGAGGCTGAAGCCTCCCTGCGGAGTGGCGTTCCCCCATCTCCTCACCAGACCCACCCCCGTTCTGGCAGAGTCCCCTAAGCCGTGAGGGGCCTGAGCCCGTCCTGCCCTCCTTGCTTGCCGTGGAGCATGTGCTGAGCCCCACCTCCTCCTTCCTCAGGGATCTGGAAATAAGCACCTCCTCCCACCCCACGGCCCAGATGGATTTGGCCTTCCCCACAGCAGTGCGGCATAAAGCAGCCCCCTCTGGCCCTGCTAGCTGCACCTCTTCAAAGAGGCTCCCGCCTCCAGCACCCTCCCCGCCACACACAGCACACAGCCATGCCCTGATAGTCTCCCTACGGCCCCTCCTTCCAGTTAAGGGGCCACCTTCCCAGCCTTCTCCTGCTAACAGCTCCCACCGGGATGTTCTCTCCCTGGGCTTCCAAGACATCTTGCTCCCCTCCTTCTCCCTGGTCCCCACTGGGGGCTCCTCCCACCCCTGCAGGATGGAGTTCTCAGGGCTGTCACTGGGCCTCTTCCCACACAGCACACTCTCTCTGGGTGGCCTTGTCCTGGGCCTCCAGCTCCAGACCCAAAGTGGAAATGCCTCCTGGGCATCTGTCCTTGTGTGTCCCTCACACAAGCTCATCAGGTCCAAAATCAGCTTCTCTCACCCAGTCCTCTGCCTTCTGCTGGGTGTCTCACCATCTACCCAGTTACCAAAACCTCCACTAAAATCACCCTCACCCCCCACTCCTGTGCCACTGGTCAAGCCAGACGACTCTACTACAGCCATCTCTAGACTCTGTGACCCCTGTCCTCAGGCCATGCCCTCTGCCGGGCTTCGTCATCATGGCCACCTCTAGCCACACCAATCTTGCCTTGTGCTCTCACACCTCCACACCTGCCCGGTAAGCTCTTCCTGGAAGTCTGAACTCGAAGACCACCTTTGTCCTCATCCCCCACCCTCACAGTGGAGCCGGATGCTCCCTTTCTAGGACTCCATGGGATCAGCTGTTGGAAAGTTCCTCCCTCAGCCTCATCATCTTTCGCTTGTCTGTATCCCTCACATGCCCGGGAGCATGGGTGCTGTCTGAGGGACCGGTGCCCACGTGCTTTGTGCACAAGGGCCCCCAGGTCTGCTCGTTAAACAGCTGGGTGACAGAATGACGCTAGGGCAGGGTAAAGTCCAACCTAGAGGCCACATGGGGGCCTGGGAGCCAGCGCTGTGAGAGATGCCCCATGACTGCAAGTGGAAGGGATTCCAGTGTACGTGTGCCTATGACCATATGGCTACAGCCTGGCTGTTACTTCAGAGAAGGCAGCTCCATGTGTCACCCATTTGTGATCTCTGTTGGCACCTTCAGTAGGGACTCCAGGCCCAGCATGAGCTGCTGGGCCCTGCTGCTACTGTGAGATCCTACCAGTTCCCCCAGGGCTCCTATCACCTAGAGGCCCGGAATGGGAAGGGTGCCTCCCCAGCCAGCATCCCACTGGTGGCCACTGCAGAGTGGGGCCCAGCCGACATTGCCTCGTGCCTGTCTGGTGTGACCAGTCTCCCTGTCTGCCCCTGAGACTAGTCAATGCTCCTCTTAAAGAGATGGGGACATTTCACCTGCGCCAAGGCATGGCATTTGAGATGAAGAAACCAGTTAAACCATCTAAAGAACCTAGAGCCACCTAGGGGTGGGAAGGATCCTAAGAGGCCTCCCCTGTCCCACCCTGCATGTCCCTTTTGTAGACCCCTCCCCCTTTGTAATTTTCGGAGCCTCTGTCATCCCATCTGTACTCCATGGGGACAGCAACCAGGCCCATCTGGTTCCTGATGTACCCCAACTCCCTGCACAGAGTGGAACATGATGGATGCCAGTAAACACGTACGCTTAGAGTGAATGAAAACATTTTTGATGGGGAGAAGAGGAACAAGGGGATATCTAATGCCACTGAGCAAGGGTTGACCTGGGCTAGGATCCAGTGCCTTCATTTTACAAATGCAACAGCCGAGGCCGGGGGAGTGGCAACGGTAAGAATGGCTTCCAGCGGCCAGGTGGCTCAGCACCTCACAGGCTGCTTCATTTCTTCTCCTCTCAGCCCTATGAAGCACGTAAAATTAATACTCTTTGGCATAGATAAGAAAATTGTCTCAGTGGTTAAAAAACTTGTCCAAGGTTACCTGGTGTACTAGGCAGGATTAGAGTTCCGTCTGTTTCCCTGAGGTAAGGGAAAGTATCTGAGTAGCCTGAGGACCAGGAAATACTTGGGGGAGGTGGTGACTTGCCTTGTTTCCCATCTGGACAGCCACGACGAAAGACCAGAGTGCCCGACCTGGTTCTCAGCCCTCAGCGCTCCCACCCAAGCCCCGGATCTCGGAGGTAGAAAGCAGGGAACTCACGCCCCCCGCACCCCGCCCGCCACTAACACACACACCCCGGGAGCCCCTTCTCAGCTGATCCGTCTAAGCCGAGCTTGTCCCGGGCCACTCTTCCAGGGAAATGGCCCGGTAGGGGCAGAAGCTGGACGGAGGGGCCGCCGGCACAGCCAGGACCACTGACGCACAGCTTGAAACAGCGTGCCACCGCCGGCCAGCTGGGAACCGCGCCGCGCACACCAATTGGGTCGGAGGCGGAGACCGGTTGGCTCCGGAGCGCACTAGGCAGGGCGGGGAGCCCGGGAAAGAGGGAGGGGCCGGCAGCGGGGGCGGAGCACGGCGCCAGACCCAAGGCCGAGCCCTCTCGGCCCCACCCCGCGGGAGCCCTTCCTGGGGGGAGGGGGAGGCGACGCCCCAAACCCTCCCCTCCCCCCCCGCAAGGCCCGTGTCTGTTGGGGACCCTCCACGTGACTTGGCAATGCAGAACGGTTATGACCTTCAGCGTGTGTCTGTGAATGCAAGGGTCCCAGCAACAGTGCGGGTTTGCACCCGGCCCTGCCTGTGGGTGCGGGGACGTGTGGGTGTGTGGACATGCGTGGGTGTGTTCGGGAGGGTGCCCAGCGACATGTGACGAAGACTCTCTCGTCTCTGGGAGATGGTGAAGGGGCCCGCGGGCTGGCGCTTTGTCTGGCTGTCTGCAGAGTGACGGTTCGCGCAGCGGCAGCAGGCGCCAGTGCGGTGCAGGATGCAGGGGCGCCAGGGTGGCCGGGGGCGCGCGCGCCTGTGCCAGGGTGAGTGCACTGCGGCGGCGCCGGGGGGCTGCGCGGCGGGTCCGCGCCGGCCCGGGCCTCGGGCGTGAGCAGGAGCCACCCGTGGGCTCTGCAGTGGCCGCGTATCCGGGTGACCTCGGGAGCCGGCCTGGGCCCCGGTGGATCCCCGCGAGCCCCTCCACGTCCGCTCTCCACGTGCGTGTCCACGGTGCGCGTGCTCGTTGGCTCGCACCCCCTGCCTGTCACTGCTGCTACTGCCGCTACTGCCGCTGCCGCCGCCGCGCCGCGGAAAAGGTGCCGGGAACCGAGTGAGCCGGGGCCGCGGGCCCGAGCGCCATGGGCCGGAAGGCGTGCGGAGGGCGGCTGGTCAGCCCCGGGCCTCACCCCCGCGGGAGAGCCGCCTGGAGTCGGCAGGGGCCGGCCGGGCCCACGGGGTGGCCGGCCCGCGCCCCCTGAGCTGCGGACACCAGGTGAGGGGGCCGCGGGGGACAGACTGGGGGTTGGCCAGGGAGGGGCAAGGGGCCACGGGAGGGGTTGGGGAGGGGTTGGGGAGGGGCACCTTAGCAGGCGGGGGAGGGGATGGCGCCGAAGGGATGCCGGAGATTCCAGGGGACACCGGGGAAAGGAAGTTCCGGGACCCTCCCTGCTCTCGTGGCCACCTCCGCTTCCTGCCTCAAGCCTCACCTTGTACCCAGAGCCCGGACTCCCCCTAACTGCTTGGGGAATGTGACCTTTACTCTGGGGGCCCTGGCCCTGCAGGCTCCAGCCCTCTCTCAGCCTTGGGGGACCCCTTGGGCCTCTGACCCTGACCCCACCGCCAGGCCAGGCTCTCGAAGCTGGCCCCTGAGACTGGGTCTTGGGGCAAGTGGGCACCTGTGCCAGACCCACCTGTGCCTGGGCTGTGACCCTTCCCTACAGGGCGCTCACCATGGCCCCGCCGCTCCTGCTGCTGCTGCTGGCCAGTGGAGCGGCCGCCTGCCCACTGCCCTGCGTCTGCCAGAACCTGTCCGAGTCGCTCAGCACCCTCTGTGCCCACCGAGGCCTGCTGTTCGTGCCACCCAACGTGGACCGGCGCACAGTGGAGCTGCGGCTGGCTGACAATTTCATCCAGGCCTTAGGGCCGCCAGACTTCCGCAACATGACGGGGCTGGTGGACCTGACGCTGTCCCGCAACGCCATCACCCGCATCGGGGCCCGCGCCTTCGGGGACCTGGAGAGCCTGCGCTCCCTGCACCTGGATGGCAACAGGCTGGTGGAGCTGGGCACTGGCAGCCTGCGGGGCCCCGTCAACCTGCAGCACCTCATTCTCAGCGGCAACCAGCTGGGCCGCATTGCGCCGGGGGCCTTCGACGACTTCCTGGACAGCTTGGAGGACCTGGACCTGTCTTACAACAACCTGCGGCAGGTGCCCTGGGCCGGCATCGGCGCCATGCCTGCCCTACACACCCTCAACCTGGACCACAACCTCATTGACGCATTGCCCCCGGGCGCCTTTGCCCAACTCGGCCAGCTCTCCCGCCTCGACCTCACCTCCAACCGCTTGGCCACGCTGGCGCCCGACCCGCTCTTCTCCCGGGGGCGCAACGCCGAGGCCTCGCCTGCCCCGCTGGTGCTGAGCTTCAGTGGGAACCCCCTGCACTGCAACTGCGAACTGCTGTGGCTGCGGCGGCTCGCCCGGCCAGACGACCTGGAGACCTGCGCCTCCCCGCCCAGCCTGGCCGGTCGCTACTTCTGGGCGGTGCCTGAGGGCGAGTTCTCCTGTGAGCCGCCCCTCATTGCCCGCCACACGCAGCGCCTCTGGGTGCTGGAGGGCCAGCGGGCCACACTGCGGTGCCGGGCCCTCGGCGACCCTGCGCCCACCATGCACTGGGTCGGCCCTGACGACCGGCTGGTCGGCAACTCCTCCCGAGCCCGGGCTTTTCCCAACGGGACCCTGGAGATTGGGGTGACGGGTTCCGCGGACGCGGGGGGCTACACCTGCATTGCTACCAACCCTGCTGGCGAGGCCACAGCGCGGGTAGAACTACGAGTGCTGGCCTTACCCCACGGAGGGAACGGCAGTACCGAGGGGGCCCGCCCGGGGCCCTCGGACATCGCTGCCTCAGCCCGCACTGCTGCCGAGGGCGAGGGGACACTGGAGTCTGAGCCAGCCGTGCAGGTGACGGAGGTGACCGCCACCTCGGGGCTAGTGAGCTGGGGGCCAGGGCGGCCGGCGGACCCCGTGTGGATGTTCCAAATCCAATACAACAGCAGCGAGGACGACACCCTCGTGTACCGGTGAGGAGGGGCTTCGCGGTCCGTGCCCCCAGCGCCACCCCCGCCGCCCTTCTCTGAACCCTGCCCCACCCCTCGGGCTTGGCTACCTCTCCTGCTCCTTCTGCCTCCTCAGGGCTTCCACACACCCCTCCTCAGCTTCTGAGCTGCCTGGGCCGAGTGGGGGCTGCAGGGGGAGGGGAGGGGGAGGCCTCAGACATGGCAGAGCGGGTGAGGCCTCGGGTATTGGCGGCCGTCTGCATTTAAGCTCGTGGGCTTGGCCCGCACACGCGTGGTGTTTGTGCGTCTGGCGTGTGATTCTCCACCGCCTCGAGGCCAGCCCTGGGCCCGGGTGTCAACGTGCACACCTCTCTGGCCCCTGACAACCGGCTCCAGGGCCACACGTGCCTGTCCTGTTTTCTCTGCCTTCTTCAGTGAACACACAGGCCCGTGTGGTCCTGGGGAAGGGGGAGTTCAGAGCTGGGGCCTGGGGACGTGTGGTGAGGCGGGTGGGGGTGGGCTGGGGCCTGGGCCCCCTTGCCTGCACTCTGACTGCCTGCCCTTGCCCACAGGATTGTCCCAGCCTCCAGCCACCACTTCCTGCTGAAACACCTGGTCCCGGGTGCCGACTATGACCTCTGTCTGCTGGCCCTGTCACCTGCCGCTGGGCCTTCCGACCTCACAGCCACTAGGCTGCTGGGCTGTGCCCACTTTTCCACGCTGCCAGCCATGCCCCTGTGCCATGCCCTGCAGGCCCACGTGCTGGGCGGGACCCTGACTGTGGCTGTCGGGGGGGTGCTGGTGGCTGCCTTACTGGTCTTCACTGTGGCCTTGCTGGTTCGGGGCCGGGGGGCCGGGAATGGCCGCCTCCCCCTCAAGCTCAGCCACGTCCAATCCCAGACCAACGGGGGCCCCAGCCCCACACCCAAGACGCACCCACCACGGAGCCCCCCACCTCGCCCCCAGCGCAGCTGCTCCCTGGACCTGGGAGACACGGGCGGGTGCTACGGGTACGCCAGGCGCCTCGGAGGGGCCTGGGCCCGACGGAGCCACTCTGTGCACGGGGGGCTGCTCGGGGCCGGGTGCCGGGGCATGGGGGGCAGCGCCGAGCGGCTGGAAGAGAGTGTGGTGTGATGGCAAGGGAGCCAGCCCGGGGTGGGCGGCAGAGGGTGTGGGGTGGGCAGCCTCCTGGCCCAGTGGGTCAGTGCTGCCTGGGAGTCCCTCCTGGTTTTACCCTGGGTCCCTTGGGAAGGACAGGGGGCGCTCTCCCTGGTTCTGGCCTCCAGTCGGGCAAAATGGGACAGGTCCCTGTGACAGGTGCTCACGGCCTCCGAGGCGGGGGCTACAGCCACCAAGTGCAAGTCTTGTTTTTCTTTATAATAAAATTACTGGGGTCACCTCACCGCTAGTCTCTGGTCTTGCCCTGCTAGGTTTCCTGAAAAGAGAGGGGGGACTCCGGGCCAGTGGAGGCACAAACAAGACGGGGTCAGTGCTGGGGCTACCAGCCCCATGGAGGCCCAGCCAGCCTGGGGTGCCCTCAGGTCCTGGAGTGCTGTGGGGCCCAGCGCCTCTGTGCTCTTTGCCCACGTCTGAGCGCAGGGAACGCCCCTTCCTGACAGTGCATGGGCAGGATGTCTCGCCCTCACCTGGCATGGGCGTTACAGTGCACTGGGTAGCAAAGGGAGCAGGTGGGAGGTGGTGCAGCCCTTCTGGGCAAAGGGACCTGGGCTGGTAACGTTCTTAGCAACTCAGTAAGGAAGTCCCCATTGGCTCCCGTGGGTGACAACCTTATTCACCATCGGCCAGGGCACCTTCTGGATGTATAAAATGTCACTCCAAAGGGATTGGAAAGGGACTTGGAATCCCATTGCCCTGCTCTCAGTCTGGGACCCCCCAGAAGGTTCCTGTCAGGGATGCAGGCCCTGAGCAAGATCTTGGCTCTCAACTGCTCCACTGACGCCCCTCGTGGCTTTGCTCTTGCTGGACACCCAGGGGCAAACACCAAGGGGGCCACGCCCACACGGCCCCTGCTCTAGTCCCCACCTCAAGGAGCCACAGTCGCGGGGCGGCGTGCCCTGCCCTGCCTCCTCCAGGCCCAGGTCCCCACCAGCCTCTGGCCCAGACAGGCCTCCTCCAGCCTTCAAACAACCACTGCTCCTGGGCATCAGCTGGGAGGAGTCAGTGCTCCAAACACACTTCCGGGCACGTGTGGCGCAGCCCGTGCACCCAGTGCTTCGAGGACATGCAGGTGCCCGGGTCCCGCTGCGGAGGGTGGGCGTGGCACCCCAGGCCTGCTGTGCTGCACCTGTGCTGAGGGGTGTGTAGCCCTTTCTGCCTAAGGGGGCCCACTGTGGCTCTGATGGCAGCCCAGTGAGAGTTGGTGCGATAAGGTGCGTGCGTACACATGTGGCAGGCCGAGCTCACACACTTGTATGTGTGCATGGCATCGACACACACGTGTGCCTGCCCGCCCAGCCCCAGAACACATACCTGGATGTGGCCCAAGAGAGATCCTGGTTTAAATAAAATGAAACAAGGTCTTCAACAGAGAAGAGCAGGAGAGCGTGAGCCCTGCAAGGGGCCGCGGAGAGAGGGTGGAGAAGGCACAGGGGAAGGCGGGGGAGGGCAGGTGGCCTGCAGGGCTGTGGCGCAGGGTTGGCAGGGCCAGTGGCCTGGTCCAGGTGCACATTTGGGCAGGACGCTGGTGCCCCAGCCTGCTGTCAGCCTCCACCTTCCTCGGCCCCTTCAAGGCTCCCGTGGCCCTGGTCTCCCTTCTCCACCTGCCAGCTCTAAGGCAGTGGGCGCTCAGGAGCCCTCCAGCCCATAGGACAGGTGGAGGGTCCTATGGCCCACGGGCACAACCATGGTGGGGGGGCCAGCCGGGGTCACCAACAGGACAACACAGAGCAACAGAAGCAGGCAGGCGAGGGGTGGGGTGGCCGGGCCCCCTGTACAGTGGCCACCCCCCACCGGAAGCAGCCCTGGGACACCGTGGTAGGAGACCAAGCCCCCGCAGCAAGAAGAGGGTTGGAGCACACGTCACGACACGTCTCTGCCACGTGTGCAGGAAATGGCCCCCCGACCGGGAGCCCTGAGGCTCCTCACGGAAGTGCAGAGGCCCCATAACACGGACCCTGGGAGGTGGGCCGAGCCCCACAGGCTCCTCCCTCCCACATGCTTTTTCAAAACACTTCTGCACCCTCGGAGCACCTGCCAGACACCATGGAGCATGTCAACAGGTGAGGGGAATGATGTGGGGCTGCGAGAGGACAGCGCTGCCCATGCGCCCCAGACCCAGCGCCGAGCCTGGACGCAGCAGGGCTGGAGCAGCCGAGGAGAGGGCGGTGCGGAGGGGCCGTCAGCCACCCAGCTCCCCGTGCGCAGTGGGCAGGGGATGGTGTCCTCAGCACGGGGAGAGCATCCCCCGGGACTCTCAGGTGAGGAGGAGTGGGTCTGCCAGGCCGCCACCCTCCACAGGGGGCTGGGCAGCGTGATCTCCGAGGGGCAGAGCCCCGTCCTTCTGCCCCTCCTGCCTTGCAGAGTGTCTGACGGCAGCGTCTGCCCAGGGAGTGCCCGCGGCTACTCAAGCAGCGCTGGCCTCAGGGACAAGACAGTATGTGGCTGTGATTCCATCTCCAGCTATACACAACTGACAGGGCCTGACCGAGAGGCCAATGGGCATCTCGGGCCTGCAGACTCTCACCTTCACACCTCGGACTCTGAACTCGGCAAGGGCTCTGCTCATCTTCGTGGCGGCCGTGGGGTGGTCCTTGCCGTGGGCGATGACTTTGACCAGCAGGGAGTCGTAGTGGGGGGAGATGACGGCGCCTTGGAAGGCAGAGGCGTTGTCCAGGCGGATGCCCATTCCCTCCCCGCTCCGGAACACCTGCGGGGAGAGGCCAGCATGGGCCGGCAGGGTGCTGAGGACCGTGCACAGGTGAACCCCAACTCTGGCTTGTCAAGTTCTTACTTTCTGCCAGCAAACCCAGGGGCACCCCACCGTGTGGAGGAAGGGCCACAGTCACCGCTCCCTCCTCCCCAAGAGGAGAAAGGGGGCAGGACAAGGGATGGGGAGGGCGTGCCCTACCAGCCCCAGGGCTTGGCGCCCAGCACTCAGGGCTGATGCGGAGCCTGCAGGGCACAGAGGGACCAGGGCAAGCCGGCCAGATCCCACCGACCTGCCACCCCGCCCGCCTGACCAACCCTCTTGCTTTTCAGGTTCATTCATTAGTTCACTCATTCATTCCACAGCATGTGTGCCCGCCTCGTGCCAGGTAGTGGGGACAGAGCAGCTAAAACAGAGTCCCCTGCTCGCAGGGGGCTCCCAGCCTGCTGGGCGAAGGGGGCAGACAGACAAATGAGGAAACACACAGGCAGGTGACAAGGATGCTGCAGGACGAGAGCAAGGCAAGCAGAGGCAGGCCAGGGGGCCAGGGGGCGTATAACATACGCAGTGACAGGGAAGGCCTCCGTGTCCCCCCACCTTCCCTTCCTTCCAAATGGGAGGAGCCAGTGAGCGGATGATTAATACTAGGAACAGGGAGCCAGGCCAGATGCAGGGAGACACACAGGAGCCCACGGGCCCAGGAAGGGAAGCAGAGAGGGAGGGTCAGAGAGGCCCTCCAAACGGGGGAGCACGGGGGCTCCAAACGGTCGGATGCGGGGAGGGGGGCCACGGCACGGGGACAGGGGCTTGGGGCGTGAACAACTGTGGAGGGGGAGGGAGAGCCTGCACCCGGGGCAGGGGACCCATGTGCGGCACAGGTCAGGGAGATGGGGCGGGAGGGACAGCCGGGGGGGCTTGGGACACACGCTGCACCGTATTTCCGCGTCTAAGGGACACAGGCCCGTGTTCAATAAAAAGGAACTCAATAAAATATTTAAGGGTGACCACACAGCTGTGAGCAGGAACTGTCAGCTAAAAATATTCTGCGGTAAACTAGGCTCGGAGGAGCCAGGCCCCGGAGGTGGAGGTGCAGCAAGGCAGCGCTGTGTCTCCGAGCTGCCCCTTCCCGGCCGAGGGCAGGGAAGTCAGGGCCGCTCAGTGCACAGCACTCTGGCCTTGGGGCTGGCCCCCACCTATGGACTTGGACCCTTCCAGAAACGCAACTCCGGCGGCAGCTCTGCCTCAAGCCGAGCAGCTCTATGCGGCTTTCAGAATCCAGATAGCTCCCCTTCCCTCCCCGGCCACCCCACATCACTTGTCTCAGGAACTCAGGGTCTGCCTCAAAATCACCCTCGCCCTCCTCCCTGGACTCCCGCACGCATCCTGCTTCCTCAGAGGCTCGGGCCAGATGGGGAGCAGTAAACCAGCAGAGCCTGTGACAGCACTGCTGACGTGCAGGACTGGAGGTATCCTTAGCTGGTGGCATGAGACAGGACCAGGGAACAGGAGTCCCAGCAGGCCAGAGGGCGCCTGCCTGCAGCGGGCCCAGAGGCTGGGGTGGGAGGGGAGGGGAGGGAAGGGGAGAGAGGAGTGCCCAGGGGAGGGGCAGGGGAGCCCGCCCAGGCCCTCTCTCAGCCCCTGACAGGCAGAGCCTGCCTCTGGGTCTCCTCCCTGCCCCCCTCCATCTCCCCGACTCCCTCATTCATCCCTGATGGGTCCCTTGGCCCAGCCCGTCCCCTCCACTGAGACATAACGGGCCCCAATCCCTTGCTGCACCCGGGGTCTCCCTCAGACTGAAGGCAGGACAGAAGCCAGCAGCGCTGCTCGGTGGGCAGTGAAGCTTTGGGTTCTGTGACACTTTGTTCCCAGGGACCCTGCACTTGGCACCCAGTTGGTCTGCTCCCTGTTCCACGTGATCCCCCCCGCTGGCCTTTCCGGCCTGTGCACATGGCCGTCTCTCCCCGGGAGTGCTCTCCCCTTTAGTCCTGGACAGTGCCTGGCTCCCACGTACTCTCAGCCAGCTTCCTGTCAGCTCAAGCCAGGGGCCTCCTTCACTGCCGGGCCCACAGGCTCCCTCGTGCCCCCTGGAGAAGCGTCTGCAAGCAGGCCGAGACTGGTGGCGGGCTCAGCGGGAAGGCGGCCCTACCTCAATGCGGCCGGTGTCCGGCTGGAAGCTGCGCGAGGGGTCCTCAGTGGTGACCCGGCACTGGATGGCACAGCCGTTGATGCGGATGTTCTCTTGCCGCAGGCCCAGGTCAGGCAGGCTCCGGCCCTCGGCCACGTGGATCTGGGCGTGGACCAGGTCCACACTGCAGGATGGGGGAGAGGCAGAGGAGGGGGAGAGCGTGAGGCAGGGGATGGGCAGGGCAGCCCTGGCCCCGCCGCCCCTGCCGGCTGACCCTTCGGCAGCCTCCTCCCAACCAGACCGGGCTGGGAACCCGCAGAGTCTGAATGAGGAGAACGTGGCAGCCGGAGGGGTGGCTGAAATATTAGCATCTACCTGATCTTGCAGCTCCTCCCAAACTACTCCTCCCCATGCTCTGCCCTACTCCTTCCCTGGGGTCTCTCTGTCCTCCTGCCTCCCCCAAACCCTCCCTCGGCCAAGCCTGGATCTGAAGGCTCAGACCCTCATTCTTAAGAGTGGTACGTGCTACAGGGTGTGTGCTGGGTGGGGCTGGGGGCCAGTTTGCAAGACGACAGGGTTATAGTGAAGGCCAGGCTTGCTGAGATGGGGCCGCAGCTACTGGAGGGTCCACACCGGTGGGTGCCATCGCGGTCAGGATCCCACCCTCCCAGGACCTATGTTGCAGCTGGGCCCGTCCCCAAGAAAGACCCTTCAGAGAAGATCTCACAGTACAAAGCTCTCCAAATGTGCCTGGTTTTCTAAGCACACCCTCGCTGACTGCCATGCTCCTAAGGACAGCAACAAATCTAAGTGGAACAGCTGTTAAAAAAAAACTCAAGGTTTTAAATTTATTGTCACCGAGGCTTATGATAAGGACGGCCTGGGAACTACTGCCCTGGCGGATCTTCCTCAGTGTTTCGCATTTCCTGCTAAACCACTCCACAGCAGTGAGGATGATTACCATGCACCGCCGCGTCTATACCGCAGACTATGGCTGTGCTCTTTCCAAGCTTCACCTCCACGGTAATGCTCTGGGAGTCACTGTCATTCCCATCAGAGGAGGAGCCCGAGGGTCAGAGAGGCTGCAGCCCACCCAAGCTCTACGCAGCTAGTGACTTGGGAGGAAGCTGCACCCCAGTCTGTGTCTGTCTGACATAAAACCTCTGCTCTCGAGCAAGCAAAGACTCCCGTCCTTAGCAGAACAGGCTCCGAACAGGCTCAAGATTGACGACAATTTTACAGCAACACAATGGGGAAAGTCTCACGGGGCCAGAGGGCGAGACTGGAGCATGTGCCTCAACTCAGCCTTCACCTCGAGAGAGCAAGGACCCTGAGGCCTTCCGTGCACCTGCCGGGCAAAGGCAGGCGCCCCAGCAGCATCCTCAGTCTCAGGTGGGGTCAGGGGTCGGGGAAGGAACTGTCCGAAAGGTTCCATGGTGAGATGGACTGACCCAAAGCTAGGGTGTAACACTTGAAAGGCTCAATGTATGTATTTTGAAACCATGAAAGGCCATATTAATTGTTTATAAAATGGGCAGGTTTTTTTGGAATGTCTCTACGCAATGCTTGTGGGAGAACAAATAGGAACAAGGGGTCTTGAAGGCTCTTTAGGTGAGATGTTGCTTATCCATTGCTCAGGTAATCCTACTAAAGGTGTCTGTCCTCAGAACTCTTCAGAGAGGTGGGCAAAGATTTAGGCCCAAAGATGTTAACTGACACACCCTTAATAACTACAAAAGCCAAACAACCTGATTGTCTAAAAATAGAGGAATATGTAGATAAGTTATAAAATACCCAGAAAATGGAATAGTGTGCAACCACTTAAAGTATTTGGAAAGAATGGGAATGCCTTAGACAAATGTTAAATTTTAAATGTAGAATAAAAGTTCTATACAAAACATCTCAGTTGTGTCAAACTACTTATGTAGTAAATAAAGATGGAAAGAAACCAAAAGATTTAGTGTGGGCGTAGGAGACACAGCACAGGGCTGGAGACGACCAGCTGTGTGACCTTGAGCAACTCTCTCAACCTCTCTGAGCCTCAGTTTCGTCATCTGAAAAATGGGGTTGATTGGCACCTTCTTCCAGTGAGGTCATTATGTGCAGCACACATCACAGCCTGCCGGGAACCTCCTCAGCACCCCGTTTCTGATGGGTGGGGTTTTGAGTCATTTTTATTTGCTCCTTTGTACTAATTCTTACAATAACCATGTAATGCTTTTATAATAATAATTTTCATAAAAAATAAGTACCTGGATCCCTAAATATTCTCTACCAGTGGACATGAGCTGAGCTCCCACTGCCCACTCCCTAGGAACCACCTGATGTGGATTTCACACAAGATGGGGGAGACGCCCCTTCCCAGTACTGCTCCCCGCCGTTTGCAGCCGCGGGCTGGTCACGGAGGCTGCCCCTGCGTCACTGGGCCGACCCCTGTGCTCACTCGGTAATCTCCTCGGTGACGGTGTGCTCCACCTGCAGGCGCGAGTTGACCTCAATGAAGTAGTGCTTGCCGTACTTGTCCACCAGGAATTCCACCGTGCCCGCGTTCTCGTAGCCCACCTGTGGGGTGGCCTCATCAGCAGGGGCGCAGTGGTGGGAGCCCGATGGGGATGCAGGCTCACCCACTGGGTTGGTTCCATAATAGAACAGACTGCAGCAAACCCTGCCCCAACCGATGGCAGGCAGCCCACCAGCCCTGCCCCCGGGAGGCGAGAGCCCAAAACCCACAATGGGCCCCGGCCTGGACATCTTACCCCAGGCCTCCGCAGGAACCTCTGAGGGCTGCACACAGCTTGTCCGGGTGAGACACGAGCAGAAGCTCCTGTCTGGCCCAGACGGTGCCCTCTACCCAGCAGCTCCTCAGCTTTTGGGCACAGGCCCACCTGTGCATACCCTGGCCTCTCCTGGACCCTTCTTATTCTTAGAGGGTCTTCAGAAAGCTCCCCTCTACTTTACTCCATCATCACTTCTGGCCACTACCCAAAGAGATGCCATTTGAGAGGAACCAACAGATAAGGCTCTAACTCAAAATACAAGCCTAATTCTAGCTTCACTTCTGGTCCTACCAAAACCACAAACTAGACTTCACTCAGCTCCCTCAAATCTGTTCTGGAAGGAGACACAGCATAAGCCAATAAATAAGACCAAACTCAAGGCAAGAATAGTCCTCTTATAAAGGAACCAAAATCTCAACTATAATCAGACCCTAATCAATGCTGCATGTTAGCCGTGGCTGGCTTTCCATTTGGGGAAGGTTACAGAAGCGTCCATGGTCCGTGGGCGCGGGCTGCCTGAGAGCCTGAGGGAGCTAGGGTCTGGAAGGAGAGCGGGCCCAGGGGCCCGCCTGGCAGCCGGGGAGAGCAGATCTGAAGAGATGTCCACTCGGGCCTCTGGGATGGGGAGGCAGAGGCGGGGGTAGGATGCCTGGCCTCTGAGTGGGGGTGGGGTCAGGAGGGCCCCAGCAGAACAGAGAGCAGGGCCCCTGCTGCAGCCTGGTCACGTGTGGCAGGCACTTTCCTGGGCCGGCCTGGGGGAGTCACTCCATATCCCTGCAGAGCAGAGACAGGCGGAGGAGGACCTGGGGAGCAAATGGGTTGCAATAGATGTGATGTAGGGGACAGTTAAGAGTAAGCGAGGGGCTTCCCTGGTGGCCCAATGGTTAAGAATCCGCCTACCAATGCAGGGGACACGGGTTCGAGCCCTGGTCCGGGAAGATCCCACATGCCACGGAGCAACTAAGCCCGTGTGCCACAACTACTGAGCCTGCGCTCTGGAGCCCGCGAGCCACAACTACTGAAGCCTGCACGCCTAGAGCCTGTGCTCTGCAACAAGAGAAGCCACCACAATGAGAACCCCAGGCACCGCAACAAAGAGTAGCCCCCGCTCGCCGCAACTAGAGAAAGCCCACACGCAGCAACGAAGACCCAGCGCAGCCAAAAAAAAAAAACAGTAAGTGAGGAAGGAAGAGATGCCTGAATACTGTTCCTTAATCTTAACAGATCCCACTGACTCTCATTCCCTTTGTTCCAGGGGTTCGCTGGTGCTGCGCAGAAACTCAATCTGTGCAGAGGGCACTAAGGAGGGGCCAGTGGCTCTTTCCCTCCTCCTCTCAGCCTTTCTGGTCTCCAGGCTTGGCCTCTGGGCCCAACGCCTCTGTGGCTGCAAAGCAAGGATCCCGAGGGCCCCGCATCAGCCCTCAATCCTCCTGCCCCCGTCCCGGAGCTGGTCACCCTGGGCCTCCCTGCTCTGCAGCAGCTGGCCACATCTGGACCCCAGTGACCGCCGGCCGTGAGGCTTATGCCAGCAGGAGCTCAAAGCAAGCCTGCAGGAATGGGCTCCTTGTCTCCACATGGGGAGGAGCCCGTGCCCTTGGCTTTCAAACTCTGTCCCCGAGAGCCCCTGCCCTTCACCTGCTTTGCAAGTTTGACAGAGTCACTGGTGAGCCGGCTCCGAAGCTGGGGGTCCAGGTGAGCAGCAGGGGCGATCTCGACCACCTTCTGGTGCCGCCGCTGGATGGAGCAGTCTCGCTCGTACAGGTGCAGGATGTTCCCGTACTGGTCCCCTGGGGTGGAGGTAGACTGCACTCAGCTCCTCCTGGGACCCAGACACCCCTGAGCTGCTGGCGATCCCCGCGCAAGCACTGTGGCTGCTCGGCACGGCTCCCAGCGGTGGCTCAGCCAGGACAGAAACGGGCACAACGGAGGCCTTGGGCCCGACCAGCATGGCCCCACAGCCCACCTTCCTGGGGAGGGCCTTCCTGAGGGAGAGCCCCTGCAGCTTTACCCAAGCAGAAGGGGCGGGCCCTTGGCAGCCGCCTCGCGCTGTGGCCCCGGGAACGCGCCCCACTCACCCAGGATCTGCACCTCGATGTGGCGCGGCTTCTCAATGAACTTCTCCACGAAGAGCGCCCCGTTCCCGAAGGCGGCCAGAGCCTCCGAGTAGGCCCGGGTGTAGTTCTCCTCCAGCTCCTGGGAGGGCAGGCGAGGGCCAAGGAGACAGTGGGTCCCAAGCTCTGCCGTGCGCGGCCCCGCCCGCCCCCAGCACCCCAGTCCCTCTGCAGGTGGTCTCCCAGCCCGCGGCGTCTGCTCACCTCGTAGCTCTGCACAACCCTCATGCCGCGCCCCCCGCCCCCATAGGCGGCCTTGAAGATAATGGGGAAGCCGTAGGTGTTGGAGAAATGGTGAGCCTCGTGCAGGGAAGTGATGGGGGCATCTGTGCCGGGGACCACGGGGACACCTGTTGGGAGACAGGCAGGTCAGGCCGAAGCCCGCCAGCAGCGCCCCCGCCCCAGACGGCCCCCCTCAGGAGCTGTGTGGCCCCCATGCTCACCTGCAGCGATGGCAATGGCCCGGGCTTCCACCTTATCTCCCATCTTGCGGACCACCTCAGGGCTCGGCCCAATGAACCGAACCCCGGCATCCTGGCAGGCCTGGGCAAAGTCTGCTCGCTCTGACAGAAACCCATAGCCAGGGTGCACGGCATCCACGTTGTTTTCCTGGCGGGGGGTTGGTGGCGTCAGAAGAGTGGAGCTCACCTCAAAGCCCTTCACACAGGCCCGCCCAAACCCTGCAGCCCTCGCGCCTGCTCCCCCGCACTTGCTCCATTCATTCACTCACTCACTCATTTGCTCACTCACTCATTCACTCACTCACTCACTCATTCACTCACTCACTCATTCCCTCACTCACTCATTCATTCACTCACTCATTCCTTCACTCACTCACTCATTCACTCATTCCTTCACTCACTCATTCCTTCACTCACTCACTCATTCGTCCCTTCACAGGGACTCACTGCCAGCAGCGTCAAGTTTTGCGGGGAGCAGACATAGGACCCAGGCCTGGTCCTCAGGAGGCCCCCAGCCCAGCCCAGCCCCGCTCACCTTGGCCACCTTGATGATGTCTGGGATGTGCAGATAGGCCTGCACTGGGGCGAGGCCGCGGCCGATGAGGTAGGCTTCGTCAGCTTTCTGTCGGTGCATCTGGCCAGTGTCCTGCTCTGAGTAGACAGCCACGGTGCGGATGCCCAGCTCCGTGCAGGCCCGGAACACGCGGATGGCGATCTCGCCTGGGGCCGGGGGTGGGCAACAGGATGGGAATTTAGATCCCCGGGTCCTAAGAGACGCAGAAAAAGGGGCAGGGAGCTGGGGCAGGGGCTGGACACTGGCTCCCGCTGTGCTCACCTCTGTTGGCCACCATGACCTTCTTGATGGGCTTGTACTCCAGGCGCCGGACACTGGGCGAGGCAGCGGGGGCAGTGGAGGTTCGGCGGATACCTAGGAGCCTCAGGCCCCCACGGATAGTTTGAAACTTCAGCATCTAGGGAGGGAAGTCATGGCCAGGTTAGAGAAACCTCAGCTCGGAGGGTCCCCAGGAAGAGCGGGGGTCCCGCGCCAGCCTCCCAGCAGCCCCGCGTGAAAGCCAGCACCACTGTTGCCTCGATTCCTCCCTGCGGGGCTGAGTAACTATAGGGAAGGGAGCAAATTCACACCCAGATGGCACCCCAAGTTTACTCTCATACTCTAATACTCACTATAATTTCTAAAGCACCGCACTTCAAGCTTTTAAAGCAATTTCAGAGACGAGCCAGCAGCCCTGCATGACCACAGTGTGTAATGTCAGTGTCCCCTCTGCTGGGCACAGCTGTCCAGGCAACCCCAGACTTTAGAACCTTCGTGCCCCACACTGACCCCTGCGTCCCTCCCTCAGGGTTCCGTCTGGCTGGGCAGGGAGGGTGACAGTGGATCTCCCCAGGAGCGAACCCGCATCAGTGTGCTCTAGGGAAGCACAGCCTCTACTTGGTTAAAATGCAGATTTCTTCAAACTGCAGAAACCTTTCTTGCTACAAGGGCTACTAAGTAAATTAGTCATGAAACCCAGCTGAGGGCCAGTGAAATGGGCCAGTCACAAAAAGACAAATACAGCATGATTCTGCTTAGATGAGGTCCCTAGAGGAGTCAAATTCACAGAGACAAGACAGTGGGAGTGGGGGGGCCAGGGGATGGGGGTGGGGTTGGGGATTGTTTAAAGGGGACAGAGTCTCAGTTTTGCAAGACGAAAAAGTGCTGGAAATGGCCAGTAGTGATGGTTGCACAACGATGTGAAGGTACGTAATGCCAGTGAACGAACCATACGCTTAAAAATAGTTAGGATGGCAAATTCTGTTATATCAATACATAGTTTATCACAATAAAAATAAACTGAGGGCAATTTACATCCCAGAATGTAGAACATCTTCAGAGGTCAACCACCCGCCTCATTTTACAAATGAAGAAAACCAAGGCCCAGGCGAGCTTTAAAAAGTGTGTTCAAAGTCACACAGCTGTTACAGCAGAGCCCAAACTGGCATTCGGTCCTTTACCCTTGCTCCGGTGCCTTTATCCAGCTAACCACGTGAACTATTTCTCAGTAAAGTTTAAATGCTTGACTCAACCATTTTGTTTTAAGTAAGAAGCATAAATATATATATATTTTTATATATAAAAACCTCAGCATCATATTATGGCCAACGGATAAGGGGAAATAAAGACGGATAAGGGGAAATAAAGACCAAATAGAAAGACAAGAGAAGAAAAGAAATAAGGAAATAAAGAGAAGAAAGAGAGAAGAGGGAAGCCCTCAGACCAGGGGAGAGAGGGCGGCCCGCCGAGCATCAACCCCGCCAGGCACAGCGCCAGGCGAGGGCGTCGAGAACAAGGCAGGAAGGCCTCGGCGCTCACAGGAGGTAGACCCAGGGAAGGAGAAGAGAAAAGGAAAAAAACAGACAGAAATAAGGTCCTTTCAGATCATGACTAGTGCCCCAAGGGCAAGAAAACAGGTAACATTTTGTGAATTACCGGGCGGGGGGCTGGATATTAAGTGGGCCTCTCCGAGGAGGGCACGGACGTGGGGACCTAAATGCAGGAAGCCGCAGCCACACACAGATCTGATCTGCAGGGAACGCACCCCAAGCACAGTAACAGCCACGGCCAAGGACCCGAGGGAAGAAGGAGCTGGGTGTGTCCAAGAAAGATCCGGTCTGACAGCTGGGGGCAGGGACCCCACGGCTGAAGGTGAGACGGGCCAGGCTGCCGAGGCCTCTGGGTACGTCCGCCTCTCACCCAACACGGTGGTGGAGGGCACGACCTGCTGCGTGTTTGGAAAAGATGCCTGGGTTGGGAGCAGCGAGGACGGAAAGAGGGTGCACGTGTGGGGCTGTGCAGGGGCTGAGACAGAGGCAGCACCTCTGACTGGGGGGGACAGAGGGGGTGGGGAGGTATCTGGGATACAACAGGCTAGATTCGCTGAGACCCACTGTGGAAGATGAGGGGAAGGAAGAAGCCCAGGATGGGCGAGTGGAAGTGCCTCCCCCACCTCAGGAGAGACCAGACTGGGGGTGGGGACGGGCTGCCAAAGAGGTCAGAGCCAGGCAGGAAGCCTGGGTGCTTCAGCAAAAGGGTGGGGTTGGAAGCCCTGGGCCTGGGGTAGATCTGCTGGGGACAGAACAGTCAAGAGAGGAGGGCTTTCCTGGTGGCGCAGTGGTTGGGAGTCCGCCTGCCGATGCAGGGGACACGGGTTCATGCCCCGGTCCGGGAAGATCCCACATGCCACGGAGCGGCTGGGCCCGTGAGCCATGGCCGCTGAGCCTGCGCGTCCAGAGCCTGTGCTCCGCAGCAGGAGAGGCCACAACAGTGAGAGGCCCGCGTACCGCAAAAAAAAAAAAAAAAAAAAAAAAAAGAGAGAGGAGTGGCGGGTGCACCAACGTTGAGTCTGGATGAGGAGGAAAGCCAGCAAGCGCCGTGGGGCTCGGGCAGAAGCTCTCGGGAGTTGAGAGCCAACAGGGGCAGAGGCGAGGGCGGGCAGTGGGCGCCCGGGGTCCCACCAGCAGCGCGAATGTCAAGGGTGGGGCAGCAGCCTCGCTGGGCTCTGGCTCATCTTCTAAAATGGAGCACATAGTCCTTACTTATTAATACAAAGTGGACGAACCTGGCAGACACCCCCGTACGCGTCATGCAGGTTAACATCACCAGCAGGAAACGGCCATCACATGCCTCCTGACGGGCGGCCAAGAAGGACCTGCGGGTGTTCCTGCCACAGATGCCCAGCCTGAGTCTAATCGGGAGCCAACACAAGGCAAACCCAGACTGAGGGACGTTCCACCAAACCACTGGCCTGTACTCTTCACACGTGTCAAAGGTCATGAGGAACAAAGACTAAAGAACTTCCAGGTTAAAGGAGACTAAAGAGCCAGAACAATGAAATGCACACGTGCTCCTGGATTGGATCTTGGATTTCAGCTGCAGTAAAGGACATTAGGGGGACAACTGACAAAATTTAAATGAGGTCTGTACGTTAGAAACGAGTATTGTGTCAATGTTAATTGTTGTACTGCGGTAACTTTAGAGAATATCCTCATTCTTAGGGAAAAAACACTTAAGTGTTTAGGAGTTTAAGGGCATCATATCTGCAACTTACACTCAAATGGTTCAGGGAAAAACATGAGAATAATGAAGCAAATGTGGTCAACAGTGTTTGGGAAACTGGGGTAAGGGGTGTGAGAGAATTCCCCGCACTGCTTCTGCAGCCTGTCTGTGGGTCTGAAAGAAAGAAGCCATGCTCCAGCTGGCGTCGATGGAGGAGCGACCCAAGGGAGCCCCCGGGACCCGCTCTCAGTGGGTGCCAAGTACCAGCTGGGCCTCAGAGTGGAAACATTTGACTCCCACACCTTTCTGAAAGCCAGTGAACTTCAGATGCTATCCTGTTATCTCCCCCTCGCAGGTCTACTGGCAGCACCTAATCCTCTGCACCGGCTTCCGGATTCAGACACCCACCCACTAGGAGGGAAGCGCTTGCCCAGCGGAGCAGCCAGAAGCAAGCAGGCCCTGGCGGTCCATGGCGCACACCCCGGGGAGCAGGTGTGGGATGCAAACCTCGCCCTCGTCCTGGGCACCAGATGCCTGCTCTGCTCAGGGCTGCAGGCGGGATCTTCCTCACTTATCTACAGGTGAGCAGCCTTACAGCTGGTACCACTGGCACGGAGATTCTCCATCCTCCAGGGACGTCTCAACTATTTCCAGGGAGGCACGCTCTTTTCTCCCACTTGGGTGGGTTTACTCCTGAGGACGCCTTAGGCACTACGCATTGTCCTGTGGATAAACAGACATTTCTGTCCTGTCCCCAACCACACATGCCCCAATCCCTTTTCCAGATAAAGAAAGAGATCCCTGGAGGTTATGCCCCCGGGCTGGGTGCCAAGTGCCTCCCTAGCTCAGTCAGCAAACAAGGGAGTCTGAATTATCCGGCCTTAGAGACCCACACACATTCCTGCATTTGACCCTCACATGTGCTCTAGATAGCAAAGGCTTCCCTGGTGTCCCACTTTACAAACCAAGAAACCAGGGTCTGGGCACTGGGTGGTGGAGGTGGGGGGTCTCTGAATGCCCCGGAGCCCCCTGTCCTGTGCAGACGGAAGCAAACATCGGCCTGGACTTGAGACCTGAGCGGACCCTGGGGTGCGGGAGTGAGCAGGCAGATGTTTATAGAAGGGGAAAGGTCACGGTCCTTCGCTGAAGTCAGAGCAGTGGAAAAAGTGGGCAGAGGGCAGCCACCCGCACCGGCTGGCAGCCCAGTGTGAACCTGGAGTCAGCAGGCCTGGGTCTGGGCACCTGAGGCCTCATTCCCTCCTCTGTGGAAGTGGCCAACACCACCCCAACCTCGGCAGGTCGTCCTGGGGATCACTGAGCGGGGGCCCTGAGTGCCAGGCCTGGGCGATGAACGTGGCCGCCATCGCCATCTTCCCACTGGCCTTTCCTCCCTGATGAGTGCGGGGCACGAGTAGGAACCCCCGGCTCTGGTGCCCACACCCGCACGGCTCTCATTCCCGCCCAAACCAGTGATGCGGCCACCCGCCCAGTGGCTCTTGCTGGACAAGGGCCGGAACGTGCGCCCACAGAGAGCGGACCGCATTCTCGGGTGGGAAGACCTGCACGCGACAAGGGAGCCCTGGGGCACTCACCCCACACCAGCCAGGCACCCAGGGCTGCTTCTTCCCAGGGAGGCCACGCCATCTGCTCGGCCTGAGTCAGTGGCCCAGGGAACAAAGTTCTCCCGCCCCAGTCTGCTGGAGGCAGGGACGGCTGCCAAGGCTGAAACTGGCGGAAGGGGCGCCCCGGAGCAGGGGAGGCATGGAGGCTGGGTCACGCAGGCAGCAGGAGCTTCACAGCCCAAAGCCTGCTCCCCGATCCCCAGGGATAGGGAAAGAGCATGAAGGAGGTGTTCTTTTTTAAAAAATTAATTAATTAATTAGGCTGTGTTGGGTCTTCCTTGCTGCGCGCGGGCTTTCTCTAGTTGCGGCGAGCAAGGGCTACTCTTCGTTGCGGTGCGTGGGCTTCTCACTGCGGTGGTTTCTCCTGTTGCGGAGCACGGGATCTAGGCGTGCAGGCTTCAGTAGTTGTGGCACACAGGCTCAGTAGTTGTGGCTCACGGGCTCTGGAGTGCAGGCTCAGTAGTTGTGGCACATGCGCTTAGTTGCTCCGTGGCATGCGGGATCTTCCCGGACCAGGGCTTGAACCCGTGTCCCCTGCATTGGCAGGCGGATTCTTAACCACTGCGCCACCAGGGAAGCCCGAAGGAGGTGTCCTGAGGCAGGACACCAGCCGGGAGCGGGACAGCGGACTTCCTGCTGCCCCTGCAGGTGAAAGGCACAGAAACGTCAGCCAACAGGCAGAGTGGGGTCTGGGGAGGCTGGTCAGACGGTGCCCTCGTGGATGCCCGAGGGCACAGGTCACACTGCCCCTCAGAGCCTAGACACAGCCCTGTAGCTCAGTTCCCAGCTTAGTCACAAGCGACCCCCACCCCCTGACCCCGCAAAGCCACGCTTGGGTCTTGAGGACACAAAGGTGAATAAAAATCCTGCTGCGTTCCCAGGACACCTCAGAACTTGGTTAACCCAGCACCCAGCCTTTTCCCTTGTCAAGTCCCACTCCCCTCCCAGACCTGAAACCCAGGGGGTTCGGCTGCCTGGTGCCTCCTAAGGCCTTTCCAGAATCAACTTCAGCTGGGAGAAAACCTGCAGGACAGAGGTGAGCCACCTCACAGAGGCCTCCCTTCCAGGAAGCAGGCCCTTCGTGGGTCGAGTGTGTGATGCACTCACTCTGGCTGTGTCGAGTCAGAGGGTCCGGGGTGGGCCGAAGGAGGCGCTGAGTGGGCGGATTCCCGCTCGGGGTGGCGGAGGCAGGCAGCCAGGCACCCGGTGAGGCCCGGCAGCAGAAGCTCAGCGCCTGAGGTCTGAGCGTGGCCAGGCCTCAGGAGACCAAGCTCCCTTCTGCAGCCCTCCCAGAGGGGCTGCCTCTGGCATTCAATGGGACCCCCGCCCTGAGACCAAACTCTGGCATCTTGCAGTGACCTGAGTGCCAGCCCCTCTTCACAGCGCCACTTTCGCAGAGCACTGGCCTTCCCTCAAGCACCGTTGCAGGTAGCATTCTCGTCCCCTCACTGCAGAGCAGAGCACAGGTGACGGCACCGGTCACAGGAGGGCGGTGTGGGCAAGGCCCAGGCTCCCACCATCGGTGCCACACTGTGCCTTGCTTTTGAGCTTTCGGTTGCGGGATGGGAACCCAGAATTTCTCAAGGTCGTTGGCAGTTTGGCTGAAAATCTTCCTTAAAAACGCCGAGGGCTTCGTTAGCCAAACCCGACGCCCTGGGAAGCCCTCGTGTTCTGTCGCATCAGCTGACCTTGCCCAGGGGAGCCACAAGCCTTCAGAGAGGGCGGCTGCTCTGCGGACGGATGGGACTCCCCCACTGGCTGGGTTCCCCCGGGGGGAGAGGCCCCTTGGAGGAGCCAGGGCACAGCCAGCCTCCGGTCACCTGCCTCGGGGACGCCACTTTGCCTTGCTCAGTGCCAGTGGCACACGTGAGCAAAAATCTCCTTTTCTGACCTCAGAGATGGGGGAGTGATGAGCAAGAGAAAAGCAACCGCCACCGCCCAAAGATCCCTTATCCGGTTTCCTCTCCAGTGAGCCGACAGGCCCAGAGAGGCCCGTTTGCTATTTTTGCAAATGCCAGCTGACAGATCCCTTTCCTTGGCCCCGGGTTGTGCATTAGAGACGGGGAGGAAGACGGCTTTGACTCTCACTTGGGACGTGTAAACAACGCCAGCAAGAATGAGGCACAGGGAGGCGGGGAGTGTTGGGAACACCTGTTTCTCCCCCGCTGCCTCTCAGCGTGACTCCACAGGCAGTCTCGACTTCTCTTCCAGCTTCAAACCTCCCCCCAACACTGAATGGATAAGCTCAGTGTTCTTTCCTTCCAGAAGGGAGTGGTGACGATTCAGTCAAGAGGGTGCTGACAACAACCTGGGGCACGAGGCAGGGGAGGTAGTGACATCGTCTGCCAGGCCCGGTGACCTGCCCTGCCCCTGCGGCTTCTACAACATCCAACACTCGCCAAGCTCCACCTCCGTGCCAGGCCGGTGCCAGCAGGTGGGGACACAGCGGGGAACAGCACACCTAGCAGAGTCTCTACTCTTTCCCAGGCATTGGGCTCCGCACGCACGTACTAACTCAGGTCAGCCTCACAGCTGCTTATCACTCCCTTTGACAGAAGGAACCAGGCACAGTGGGATTAAGTCACACTCAAGGTCAGCCAGCAGGGGCAGTTCTGAGCCCACTTTGTATGTCTCCTAGAGCAAGAGCGCTGACCCATTAGGGTGTCCTCACCTAACTAAAGGAATAAGTTATGGTTTTCATCAGAAGCACAGCGTGACAGGCACTTGGAAACCAAAAGCCAAAACCCCACTCCTGATAAAAATGTGTTACTGCCTGAACTTCGGCAGGGCCACCAGAGGGGCTCTGCACTTCTCACCAGGGAGCAGGCTAACAGAGCCAGCAATCACGTGTCCCTGATGAGCTAGGGCAGTTTCAATTCATCCAATAATCATCAAAATGTCACTAGAGGTCCCATTCCTTCAGACCTAAACTACACCTCCCAGGCTGCCTCTTGCAACCAAGAGCAGCACAAAATTCCGCTGTCAAGCCATCACCATCCAAATTTTGGTCCAGACAATAAAGCCACTGGGCTCAAGGGCGGACGTGCTCTCAGCCAGAGCAGCCTTGCTGGGATCAGGGTAGGCGGCCACCTGAATAGCTGTTGTAGCCAAGCATCGGGCCCTGGAATGTTCCTTCGAGGATCTGTATTGCTTCCACCCTAAATATCCCTGTTCTTCACACAGCAGCTCCTGCAGACTCCTCAGAGGGCAACTGTGGGCAGGAGGCACAGAGGAAAGTAAAGTAAAGCTGTGGCCCTGCTTTGGGGGTGGCTGGCTGATGTGTTAGTTTTGGAAGCCCACAGACTGAACTGCCCGCCCCCAGTCCCCAAGTACCTGAGCACGTCCATCTCAGACGTGTGTTGGAGCAGCCAGGTGGGGTGAGAAGGAGGGAGAGCGGGTCAGAAACAGGCCCCAGGAATCTCCAAGTTAACTAGTGAGGCTCCTACACAATTACTTCCTACTACCCACCCCCAGCACTAGCACCCCTACCAGGCTTTATCCCCTGCCCCCAGCCGGCCTCAGCGGCTGGCTGCAAGCCAAAGCAGGTCAGAACCAGAAAGAAAGAGTTCTTGGTGGAGGACTCCACACTGTGGCAGAAGCGAGCCTCTGATGGATGGGGCTGCTCTCGGGGAGCCTCCCTTCCAGGCAGCTCCGCGCTGTCCTAAACGTGTCGGATGGTGGCCCGGGGCTGGAGGCCAACGGGGACAGATGAAAGGGAAAGACTCCGCCTGACTTTCAGGGCTGCAGCGGCTGATATCAAAGCGCCCAAGAGAGGACAGACCAAGGCCGAGATTTCTGAGCAGGGGGAGCTGAAGGGAGGACAGGAGAAACAACGAAGGTGACAGATGAAGAAGAAAGGGGCGCGAGAACATCAAAGGCAGGAAGAGACTCGGAGCGGAAACAGCGCGGGGCCTGGGGCAGCACAGCCCACCTCCCACCCTGAGCGCGGGGCTCTGCGTCGCCCCTGACAACCCTCGATTTAGGCGGCAGGCAGAGGGGAGGGGGGTAACAGCGGCACCTGGGACAACGCGCCCCGCGTTGGCCAAGGGGATTTGTGGACTGGGAAACGGGGGAGGCTCAGAGAGAGAGGCGCATGAGGGC